TGCAGTGCAGTCCCGCTCGGCGAAGGGCCGCCGCCCCAAGGTTGGGAGCGGCGGAGGCGGCGGGGGTGCGGGTGGGGGTAGTGGTGGAGGCGGGTCGTCCGGTGCCGGTGCGGACGTGGGGACCCTGCCCGGTCCAGCTGCCCCGCTGCCTCCACCGTTGCAGCAGCAGCAGTCGCCGCAGCCGCAGCAGCCGCAGCAGCCGCCGCAGACGAGGCCGGCGAGTGCTCTCCCACCTGGGTGGCCTGGAGCTGGTGGTGGTCGTGCGCGTGGTGGTGCACCGGGTGGTGGTTCTGGAGGCGGGCCCTGTCAGTACCAGATCCAGACCGGTCCTCGCCGCGGCTTCGTTTGCGGTAAGATCGGTCATTCTACTCCTCGCTGTTTTCGTCGTCTGGACGACCTGTTCCGCCAGCGCTTTGGCCCGGCGCCCGACCTCCCGGACTGGCACAGCTTGCTTAGGCGTAGCATTAGGATTTTTGACTTGGACATGGATGCCATTGTAGCAGCCTTGCATGTGATGTATGCTGATGACTCTAGTGTGCTTCCCTCTTATTACCCCGTGTTGCCTAGTGTAGCGGTGCCTAGCGTAGACTCCCCTGCTGCGTCAGGCGTAGGATCTCCTGCTTTGCTTAGCCTTGGTGCTTCCACCGCTTCACTGCCGCCTCACGCGACTGCTGCGCTTTCCTTCACCTTGGACTCTGGCGCCTCCCGGTGTTTCTTCCGCGACTCCACGACGCTGACGCCGCTGCCTGTTCCCGCTGCCGTTACTCTTGCTGACCCCTCCGGTGGTCCCGTCGTTGCCCGCAGTTCCACCTCCCTTCCCTGTCCGGCGGTTCCTTCAGGTTCGCTCACCGGTCTGCATATCCCCTCGTTCTCCAGGAACCTAGTTGGTGTCGGCTGCCTCCAGGACCTTGGCGTCACCACTACGTTCCCTGGTCACGAGCGGTATGCTGTCTGTACCGAGGCCGCCACTGGTGCCCCCCTTACCACTTTCCCCCGGGACCCGGTGTCCGGCCTGTTCACTCTTGACACCGCGACGTCCCCGGCTGGGTCTTCCCCCCCGGTAGCTGCGTCCACCCAGGTTGCTGCCGCGTGCTCCTGTCGGTCCCTCACTCACCCGACTCTCCTTTGGCACCACCGCCTTGGTCACCCTGCACTCCCACGTCTGCGTCACATGTCCCAGCACGGTCTCGTCCTTGGTCTCCCCGGTTCGTTCCCCGAGTTTCCCTCCTCCCCCGCCCCACCGTGCACGCCTTGTGTCGAGGGCCGGCTCCGCCGTGCCCCTCACTCCTCCTCTTTTCCCCCTACCACCGCACCACTGCAGACTCTGCACATGGACGTCTGGGGCCCAGCCCCGGTCCATGGGCCGCGTCGCGAGCGCTTCTTCCTAGTGCTTGTCGACGACTTCACGCGCTACACCACCGTCTTCCCCCTGGAGCGGAAGGCCGACGTGCCTGACGTTCTCATCCCCGAGCTTGTCTCTGCTCGTGTCCACCGCGGTCTCCCTGCCTTGCGCCTCCACTCCGACCGGGGTGGCGAGTTTGCCTCAGGTGTCCTTGGTCGCTTCTGTCGTGCGGAGGGCATCACCCAGACGTTTACCCTGCCGGACTCCCCGCAGCAGAATGGGGTCGCTGAGCGACGCATCGGTTTGGTCATGGAGGTGGCTCGCACCTCCATGATCCACGCCGGTGCACCCCATTTTCTGTGGCCGTTCGCCGTGCGCTACGCCGCTCACCAGCTTAACCTGTGGCCGCACCCCCAGCGGCCGCAGGTTTCGCCGACCCTTCTGTGGACCGGGTCCCCTGGTGACGCGTCTGCGTTCCACGTCTGGGGCTGCCTTGCCCACGTCCGTGCCTCTGGCACGGACAAGCTCACTGCCCGCACCCTCCCCTGCGTCTTCCTCGGTTTCCCCCTTGACGCGTCCGACTGGCACTTCTACCACCCGCCGTGCCACCGCTTCTTTCACTCTCGCGACGTCACCTTTGACGAGTCCGTCTCATTCTACCGCCGCTTCCCTCACTGTGGTCCCCCGGTTACTCCCCCCCTGTTCCTGGTCCCTCCTTCCCCGGTGGTCCCTGCCCCTCCCCCCCCCCCCCGCCGCCCCCCCGTCCGGCCCCCTCTGGTGTGTCTCACGTCACCCCCCTCCCGTCGGTCGTCCCGGTCGACGAGTCTTCTGACTCTGGTAGTCCTCCGGCGCAGTCCTCGCCGTCTGTCCCTCCCCCGGTGTCTCCTCCTCCCCCGCCTCCGCAGCCGCCGTCGCCGCACCTGCTGCAGCCGTCGTCTCCACCGCCGCCGCCGTTGCAGCCGTCGCTGCAGCCGCCGCCGCCGCCGCCGCTGTCGTCCCTGCCGCCGTTTGTGGACTCTGGGGGTGTCCCTTCTGGGGGTGCAGGTTTGGAGGGTTCGGGAGGTAGCCGTCGCGCCGCTTGTGGCCCTGGTGTTGGTGTTGTGTCGCCGCAGCAGCAGTCCCCGCCTGTGACCGCCCTCCGTCTGCTCGGCCTCCCGTCTCCTGACACTGCGCCTGTTCCTCTCCTGCCGTCTCCCCCTCTTTCCGTCTACGGCCCCGTGTTCCCTCTGCCAGACTCGTCCCCGGCTCGTCTTCCCCCCCGTTCCCCTCCTGTGTCCCCTCCTCTGTCTCCTGACCCGACGCCGCCCTCACACGTCTGGTCTCGCCGCCCCGCTCGTGCTCGTCCTGTCTCCCCTGTCCCGCGCTCTCACCCTATGTTGCTCCGTTCCCACCCGTCTCGTCCTCCCCTCCTCCCGTCTCCTCCTCCGTCTTCTCTTGTCGTTGCGTCTCCTCCTCTGTCCGACTCCTTTCGTGCCGCTCGTCCTCTTGTTCCTCGGGTCCTTGCCTCTCTTGTTACCGACCCGTCTGTTCCAGTGTCGAGTCTTGACGCCCTCGTCGCTGCGGTCGCTGACTTCGCCTCTACCCGCCGCCTTGACTACGCCACCGCTCTGGTCTCTGACCCTGCCTGTCCTCCGTCTGTCGGGGGTGCTCCTGCCCTCGGCAGTGACGTCCTAGAGGACCGCCAGTTTGAGCTTGCTTTCCTGTCCGAGGCTGCTCCCCATCTCTGTTCCATGCTGCTAGTCCCTGAGGGTGACCCAGACGCTTTCGACATCCCGACCCCTCGTACTTACGCTGAGGCGGTTTCGGGACCCTGGGCCTCTCAGTGGATAGCTGCCATGGAGCAGGAGATGGCATCTTGGAGATCCACCGGCACCTTCGTCGACGCAGTTCCCCCACCTGGGGTGAACGTGGTCGATGGCCGCTGGCTCTTCAAGGTGAAGCGCCCTCCTGGAGAGCCGCCTGTGTTCAAGGCGCGCTACGTGGCTAGAGGCTTCAGTCAGCGCGAGGGGGTGGACTTCTTTCAGACTTTCGCTCCTACCCTGAAGATGACTACTCTTCGGGTTCTGCTACACGTAGCGGCTCAGCGTGACTACGAGCTTCACTCCCTCGACTTCTCCACTGCCTTTCTTCAGGGCAGCCTTCACGAGCAGGTCTACCTGCGTCGCCCTCAGGGCTTTACTGGCACCTTCCCCCCTGGGACCCAGTGGCTTCTGCGGCGGCCAGTCTACGGCCTGCGCCAGGCGCCTCGTGAGTGGCACGACACTTTGCGTGCTACCCTTGCTGACCTGCAGTTCTTTCCGTCCTCTGCAGACCCCTCGCTCTTCGTTCGTGCTGGCTCGACTCCGTTCTACATCCTTGTCTACGTAGACGACCTGGTCTTTGCCACTGCTGACAGGGACGCACTGGCCTCCGTGAAGGCAGAGCTGCTGAAGAGACACACCTGCACTGACCTTGGAGAGCTGCGCCGTTACCTTGGCTTGCAGATCTCCAGGGACAGAGCCGCGCGCACCATCACCCTGACTCAGTCACACTTGGTGCGCCAGGTCCTTCAGAGGTTCGGCCTTCAGTTCTCCTCCGCACAGCCCACCCCTCTTCCTCTGGACCACAGACTCTCCGCTCCAGTTCCTGAGGAGTCGGTAGATCCCAGTGGTCCTTACGCTGAGCTAGTGGGTTGCCTCATGTACCTTATGACTTGCACTCGCCCAGATCTCGCATACCCTCTCAGCATCCTGGCTCGGTTCGTGGCCACAGGCAGACACCGACCTCAGCACTGGTCTGCCGCTAAGAGGGTTTTGCGTTATCTTGCAAGTACATCGGGCATGGGGTTAGTGCTAGGCGGACGCAGGCCAGTGGTCCTTACTGGACACACAGACGCTTCTTGGGCAGACGACGCGGAGACGCTCAGGTCTTCCCAGGGCTACTGCTTTAGCCTTGGCTCAGGTGCTGTCTCTTGGAGAGCTACCCGCTCTTCGTCTGTTGCCCAGTCCAGCTGTGAGGCCGAGATCTACGCCGGTGCCATGGCGGCACAGGAGCTCCGCTGGCTGACCTTCTTGCTCACTGACTTAGGTGAGCGGCCTAGCTTTGCCCCGGTCCTGTACGCTGACAACAGGGCCATGATCCTCCTGTGTCAGGAGCCTCGACTCGAGGGCAGAGCGAAGCACATCCAGCTGCGGTACTTCCTCCTGCGTGAGCTACAGCAGCGTCGCCAGGCTCGCGTAGTACACTTAGCCTCCGGTGCCAACACAGCTGATATCTTTACGAAGGCGCTTGCGCCTAAAGATCATCAGCGGCACTGTGTACAGCTTGGTCTGGTTCCTGTAGTCTCTCACTTACTCGGGCCTTGACTTTGTACTGTCCTATATATATCTGTGTGTACACTCAGACTGGACTTGTGTCCTCTTACAGTGGTTGGACTAGTAGTGCCGCCCTGTACTAGTTCTTGCCTTGCCTGTACTCCTTCTGACTGGTCTTTTAGACCCTTGTCTCAGAGGCTGGACTAGTAGTGCCACCCTGAGCTGCTTGTCTAGAACATTCCCCTATGCAGTCCAGGGGGTGTGTCAAACATGTTTAGTTATCATGCTTGTATAGACTGTATAGGGTCATCTTCTAGAGAGTACAACTGTTAGGTATATGTTTGTGTACTCTCTTCCTCTCTATCATTAAATTTCACTGTTTGTTATCTTTCTCTCGACACTTTCCTCCCCTAACTAAACCTCTGGCCGCCATGAAATGGCGGCCTTTCTTCCTAGTTAAGCTAGCATTCAGACAACTACCAAGCCTATCACATATACATAACTTGAATAATTTGAACACCCATGCCATGTCCTGGAAAAAAAGCGTAGCTCTTCAACTTTTGGTACTGCACAAGAAACCACAGAGAATCAGACTGGACGTAGCACAGCCCCTGGCTTGCGCCAACACATACATTAAAGCTCACTGGCATCTTCAAGGCTCATGAGCATCTTCAGACCTGCCGTACAGGAATCCATGACATTACTTGCAAGAACTGGAATTAAACGCATAATGGTATAACCTCGGACAAAGAATTGGAATCCACGAAAAGCAAGAGGGCAGAGGGAATGGAGAATGGATGGTGTGGGAGGAAGAGAAGCGAACATGCAACCTTTCTTACTTGGAGGTGGCTTCCAGTCTGGGAAAAATAAGCTTATTTCTCGGTGAGCATCAGCAACAGATGCAGAGCCGTGTACTGCATTCTGTAGAACATCCGTGCCATACTTGGCACGTAAGCTACCATAGGGAGAACGGGAAATGGCATCAAAATGGAGAATGATGATTCGCTAGTCTGTTTAAGATGCGGATATACTAGAAGACACGCCACCAACCGAATGTACTACCGGTAGGCTGCAAGCGAAACCGAGAATGCAAAACGCAAGCTCGTGGTGTTTAAGCCGTGGCATAAACCTGGATTCTCCTACCTTTCAGGGTGAGCAGCACGGGCTGTCTTGGGGTTGGTAGGGCCGATGAGCTCTCGAAAGGCCGACGGTGCATTTTCATGCTGGAGGACCATTGCTGTCACTGGTGCACTGCAGGGAGCAATAGGGAAGAAGACATGGATACGGGTGGGTTATGAAGCTACAGACAGGACAAAGGGTCAGGTCACGGCACCATGCATGTGGTGTGGGGGGGTGGTGATGGATGTGGGTAGCAGGAGGGTGGGTGGAATGGCTCACCTAAGCATGAAGTCTATCAGTCCCTGGTAGAACTTCTTTCCTTTATGCTCCGCATAGAACTTCTCCGCTAACGACTCGTCGAAAAAAAGCATCTTCTCATGGACAACCTGGAAGCCAGCTGCTCGAATGTCGTTGGCCAAGCCCGACCATACGCCATTCCCCATGAGGTCGGGCTTCAGAATGGCAAGGGTTAAGTCATCTCTGTCCTCTGCAGGGGTTGTAAACCGATTCAGAGAAGAAACACGAAGTGATGTTTGGAGGTTGTTGCAGTTATTTATCAGAAGCTTGCATCAGAAGCTTCTGAAACGCGATTCCTGGAACAAGTTGGGAATGTTACCAAGCGGGACACAAAACACGAAATCAGAGACGTGCCGACGTCTACTACGATGCGTCAAGCTCACGAGCATACCTAATGATGATGAAGACGTCGCGAGACCGAGAAAGGCGAGAGAACACAAGACGTGAAAAACGAGCAGTTTCAAGCTCGTCATAACGAGTGCTTGAACAAAGCAGCAGATTCCAACCAATCCCAAGGTGAGAGTGACAGCGGAATGTTGTAGTGGACGCAGGCAGCAGGAGAGAGGGGTTCAAAATGTGTGATGGTGGTGTTTCTGGTGTGCGTTTGCATGCTCAAAGGGGTATAGTCTGCGAACCATGCGAGACTCGGTTATCGCAGGCTCGGGACATTCGTTTTCGTTGACCTACAAATTCTCGCCGTGTCCAAAACTTTCCAAATCGCAACATCGCACGCTGCTGGTTACCACAAGGCAGAAAGGTCCCAAACCAAAAGCTTAGTCCGCAAGACAAACTGATGAGTGGGTTGTTTTGTCGAATATCACCCATTGCGGTTCCTTGCGTGAAGCTTTCTGTTCCGAAGAATTTCAGACAACGACTTGAGGTCATGTGTACGCATGCTGCGAGTTTCGTGAGAGACTAGAAAAGGTAACAGACGAAGGCCATTGTTTGACAGGAAATACCGGCTCCACGGCATGGCGAATTTGGTGCTCTTCCCCGGGCTGCTGGTCGACATCGTGGATGAGGAGTGGATGGGAGAGACGCTTCCCGATGACGGTGCGTCGGATACTTTAGTTACGCTTTCCAAGAAATACATTACTGTTTATGGCTTCGTATCACCTGGCTAGATTCCTGGCACTCGGTTGACGCATAGTTTCGATGAGCTAATTCGGCTGATGGCCGTTGCTTGATCAGATGTGATGCTTCCAGTCGCCCTTGCCCCTACGTCAGACGAGGCCGATGACTTAGGTAAGTTCTTCTCATACGTCAGACCTTCTTGTTGGTATGCCTCTCTTCTCTTACTATGCTTTGGCCACTCTACGTTATGCCTTCACCTATGGTGCTCAATGCCCTAAACTTGTTTTAGCCAGGAGTATTCTTCTGTCTGCTTGTCTTTTTGGAGTCTTCGGTCTGCTTGTCTTTTTGGAGTCTTCTGTCTCCTTGTTTTGAGGTGGTGATTTCTCTTTGTGGTACAAATCCCACTCTCCAACTCTCAATCCTTCATTGCTGCAGGGAATGAGGTGGCTCAAGAGGATCCAAACAAATGGTCGGACCTTGCCTTGGACTCAATTCAGTGAACGTTTTCCAGGAAGTCATACAACAAGAAATGGGCCTACTGACATGTTGACAGCTTCGGGGAATGTACGATAGGCTGCTGAAGTATTATTTTGCAAAGCATGATGTTGGTTCAGCTGCTGCTACAAAGAACGCATCATGGACTCATGGTAGCCAGTAGCTAGACGACAGCATGCTACTTTGTGGGTGAGCTGCAACATTTTGTGCCAGCTCTCCTGATGAACTAAAAGACAAGAATGACTTGCTTACGCAGCAACGAAACAATCTACTTTCCAATGGGGATACTGTTACAATCTGCGACCAAATGGGGATCCCGAGATGAGCCACCCTTCAGATGGGAATCCCGAGGCGAGCCACGTGCACGGTTGTCTTGTTGATGGCATGCAGCTGACGCTGAGCCTCCCGAGTTGCCATGGCCAGCTGCGGTGGGAGCAGAGGGATGAGACAATGCAGGAACCAACGGAGTGGTGATGGAGAGGGATACTGCCACTCTCACCCGTGAAGTGTCAACATAGCACATACCACACTAGATGGATTTTGAGTCGACTCAAAACGTGTCGTGCGACATTGTGACGAGGTGTCTTTTGAGACTCAGAAGTCACAATGCTGGGATAAATACCGCCCCACTCATACATGGAGTGCCAACATAGCACCTACAGCATGACAGATGCTAGCATCTCGCCATCCATCAGGGAGCCGAATTCTGATGCATGGTGCAACAATCATGAACAGCACACCGACAGCAATGCGGCACGAGCTCAAGCTACTGTACTGGTTGGTGCGGCGTACCTCCGACCGCAACCGAACGCTGTCCCTCGCAGGAAGGTCTTTCAAGAGCTCACGGAGCCCTGGGGAGGGGGTGGGGGAGGGGAGAAGGGGGGAGAGACCACAACGAACGCTGGAGAAGGGGGGGGAGGTGGGGGGGGGGAGACCAGAACGAACGCTGGAGAAGGGGGGGAGGGGGGGGGTGGGGGGGAAGACCAGAACGAACGCTGAAGAAGGGGGGGAGAGACCAGAACAAACGCTGGTCGTTTTGAGACCCAAACCAGAAGGTGCTCGGAAGTATGCTGTAGGAGCGAAATTCCTAACAGGGGAGTCAGTTACTGCAACATGTCTACGAAGGTTGTTGCGAGAGCAACTCACCTTGTGACTTCTTTTCGGCTGCCCGTACAGTTCCTGCCAGCCGTTGCATCTCAGCCCCTGCAGCCCTGCCGCCAGTAAAGGATTCCTCAGCACGAGACGGTGATCCAAACACGGTGATCCAAACACGGTGATCCAAACACGGTGAGACTTTGGATCCCCGCCGCCTCAAAAGACGGGGAGAGAGGGAACTTGGTGAATTTTTTAGTCGACTCAAAAATCAAGATGGGGAGAGAGGGAACTTGGTGAAGAAGGCAGATATTGTCAGACGGGTGGACATCATACTACAGGAGATGCCGCACATGAGCAGCCATGGTGAAACAGAAGGAGAAGAACAGGCAATAAACTGGATAGGACAGGGGAAGTGGCATATGACCAGCCATGGTGAAACAGAAGGAGAAGGACAGGCAATAAACTGGACAGGACAGGAGAAGTGGCATATGACCGGGCACGTGCTGCTTGTCATGGTGGAGAAGGCACGCATGGTGAAACAGAGGCAAGACGGAAGAACATATTACGAAAAGGTAAGGCATAAAAAATTGACACGACAGGAGATGCGGCACATGACCAGGCATGTGCAAGCAAGCGCACCTCAGCTTGTCTCGGCCTGATATGAACTCCGATTCTGCCATTTGGGCCCGCTCCTGCAACATGAGAGTGAGACGTCCAATGCAGAGACACGGACGGACACGAGACATGAAATGGCAGCACTATTAATTAATCAAAGCGGGGCAAGCAAGTTGAGACCTGGCAGATGAAATAGGCGAGAGCAACGGATAGAGGCAAGGAGGGGTGCAGGAACGATGGGAGGGATAGAGGGATAGAGGGATGGAACTATAACGGATGTTCTTCACAGGCAGGAAAAGAGGGGGGACGGGAAGAGGCACCTGCAGCTTCTTGGTGTCGTTTTTGAATACTTCCACTGACTGCTTCAGGCCTTCTAGCTTGCGCTCAGCTGACTCGACCAGCACCTGAGTCAGTTCAAGAGGGTGGTGGGTGGGTGGGTGGGTGGGTGGGTGGGTGGGTGGGTGGGTGGGTGGGTGGGTGGGTGGGTGGGTGGGTGGGTGGGTGGGTGGGTGGGTGGGTGGGTGGGTGGGTGGGTGGGTGGGTGGGTGGGTGGGTGGGTGGGTGGGTGGGTGGGTGGGTGGGTGGGTGGGTGGGTGGGTGGGTGGGTGGGTGGGAGGGGGTGTTAAAAGGTTTGCTTTTGACAGCGGAGGTTTACTCTGAAGCAGAGGGTGGGAGGGAATGCCGGGCAGTGAATAGCACATGTGACAGGGAAACCTGCTGCTGTGCGTGAAGGTGGACTGCTCAATTTCATCCAGCCATGTTAACTAGCGCACATGTGGCGAGGTGACTTTTGAGTCGACTCAGAAGTCACCTAGTTGCCCAGCCAGCGGCATGATCTGGTGCCATTGAGTCGACTAGGTGTGTGACACTGTAACGAGGTGACTTTTGAGTCGACTCAAAAGTCACCATGGAGATTAGACCTGGGCTTAACACCGAGCCAGCTCGGCTCGGCTCGGCTCGGCTCGGTGTTCAGCCCATGTGTAATGGAGATGATGGAGTGCTCAATCCCATCCATGAAGATGGACCATTCAATCTCATCCAGCCATGCTAACTAGCGTCCGTCCATGTGGCGGCTTACCTCTGGTGTTTGAAACCGGCCAAATGTTGCTCGGTACAGCATCTTGCGTGGACCTGGTCGAAACAATACAGGGAGGGTCCATTCAAGAGGCAGGGAACAACAGGAAAGCGTCGGAATTTTGCAGGGTGTTTTTGAGAATTGCAGGGTGTTTTTGAGAATTGCAGGGTGTTTTTGAGAATTCTCAAAAAACACCCTGCAAAATCAGGGTCCATTGAAGAGGCAGGGAACAACAGGAAAGCGTCGGAATGGCAAGGGGATTTCGGCCATAGCCTCCTCTGCTGTAGTGCAGCTGGGAAAACAGCCTAAAGCATGATTTAAACGATTGGTCAAGCAGCCCGTTAATCAGCAAACTGACCTGGAAGTACGAAAGCGAGAGAAGAGAGCAGGATGGCAGACGAGGCTACGCGATGCTCCGAGGCCAAATACACTCCCACTGGTGGAGAGAAAGAGAAAATAAAGGGGGGGGGAGGGGGGGGGGGGGGGATGAACGGGCGAGGTAGTGTAAGGCGAGAGAACGGCGTCTGAGTCTACCATAGAACCAGATGCAGTAGAATGGCAGCAGTTGTAGAGATGGCGAAATGACAGTACTGCGACGTGCGGCTGGAGACAATAGCTGTCACTTGTTCAGCGCGCACTTGGAAAACTAAACTGAGGCGCCTCAAAACTAAACTGTTCAGCGCGCACATGGGTGTCGTGTCGCTGTACTGCGACGTGCGGCTGGAGACAGACGATAGCTGTCACTTGTTCAGCGCGCACATGGGTGCCGCTGTACTGTGACGTGCGGTTGGAGACGATAGCTGTCTCATTTAGCACGTGAAATGAGTATCTGAGCGCGTTGAACAGACAGCTGCCGTGGGTCCAGCCACACGTGACGTGACACAGTACCAGGGTCCATACTCACATCAAAAATAGCTGTCACTTGTTCAGTGCGCACATGGGTGGGTGTCGCTGTACTCCGCGTGATAGGAGTCTAGTTTTAAGGCGCCTCAAAAATAGCTGTCACTTGTTCAGCGAGCACATGGGTGGGTGTCGCTGTACTCCGCGTGATAGGAGTCTAGTTTTGAGGCGCCTCAAAAATAGCTGTCACTTGTTCAGCGCGCACATGGGTGGGTGTCGCTGTACTCCGCGTGATAGGAGTCTAGTTTTGAGGCGCCTCAAAAATAGCTGTCACTTGTTCAGCGCGCACATGGGTGTCACATGAGGTTGGAGACAATAGCTGTCTCATTTAGCAGGTGAAATGAGTATCTGAGCACGTTGAACAGACAGCTGCCATGGGTCCAGTCCAGCCACACGTGGCGTGACACAGAACCAGAGTCCATCCTCACGTATTACCACAACTCCAGCCACAAGACGCAGGTGTAGAAACGACAGTAGCAAAAATGGCAGCATGAGGAGTAGTATACTAGGAATCTATCCCTGGGGACTCACTCACCCACTCACTCACCCACTCACTCACCCACTCACTCACCCACTCACTCACCCACTCACTCAACCACTCACTCACCCACTCACTCACTAACTCTTCAAGGTGGTGGAAGACGAGTATCCTCGTACTGTGTGTACGTCTCACGATCCACTGTACTACCACCTGCCCTCATTAAATGTACTATAGAATCACACCTGGGTGACTGACTCACTCACTCACTCACACACTCACTCCCTCACTCACTCTTGAGGTGGTGGAAGAAGATATCCTCGTACTGTGTGTACGTCTCGCGAGCGACCTCAAATGACGCCTGCAGGGAAAAGGGCGAAGATGGGAGAAACGTCAAACGTGAGGGAAGGAATGCAGCCAAGGTGTTCACATACGCGTTTTAAGGGTCTGACCATTGCTTCCCATAGGCATGCGGACGGAAGCGGCCCCTCCCATAACTGCGATCTGCTCACGCGCCCTTGGCGCTGTCTGTCGCACCACGGCCAGAAGCGTGCTCCTGCCTTTGATTTGACTCAAAAGCTGTCGCACTATACCGCGGCAGAGGCGTGCTCCTGCCTTTGAGTCGGCTCAAAATCTGTCGCACCACACCGTGGCAGAGGCGTGCTCCTGCAGGTGCTGCAGCTGCTCGTTGCCGGCCATCACCACCGGCTCGTTTCCCTCCGCCCATCTGCCGCCCGTCTGCCGCCCATCTGCTCCTGCAGGTGCAGCAGCTGCTCGCTTCCCTCCGTGGAAAACGCCATCACCTTGCGCCTCCTCCTCCTGCAAAAAAATACGCGTTATTATATGTCTCACCTTGGCTTCTTGCAGGTGTTCCGACGCTGCTGCTTCCATCACCGCCATCTGCTGTCGAGCAGAGGCGAATGCCTGACTGGATGCTCCTGTACGCGATATAAGACGGCTCACCTTGGCTTCTTGCAGGTGCTCCGACGCTGCGGCTTCCATCACCGCCATCTGCTGCCGCGCGGACGCAGTCGTCTCGCGGATGACCGCCGACGCCTGCTCCTGCGCCTGCTGCAGCTGCTCGTTCCCGTCCGTCACAATCGCCATCACCTTCCGCACCTCCTCCATCACCGACGATGCCATGGTCGATCGGCTCCTCAACGCGCTCAGCGCGCCGCTCTATACGGTGCTTGAACGAGGCTTGATAAAACAGTAATGTCTCGCTTTCTGAGGCGCCACGAGGGTAACTTATACCGCGTAAAATCTTATCCACCTCGTTTAGTGCCAAATAAGAAAATGAATTATTGCGGATCGGGAGACGGTGCGGACGGGATATGTGGAAAGCGGAGGCGATGGCAAAAGTTAGGAGCTGGCGTTGCGATTTTGGAGGCACTGGAGGAGGTGGATGTGGAATAGAACTGTAATGAGGGATTTGGAGGGTAATAAGGTAATGGAGCCGCTACGACAACAGGGCTCCATCGGGAAGTGCAGGACAGTCATCCTGGAGCTTGTCGCGGGAAACTCCGCTTTAGCGTCAATTGAACTAAATCATTTGTACATGTATGAACCCAACTTAGAATAACGAATGCACTTGCACATTGTTATGATGTCCGCAACAAGTCGTGAAATGCTTCTTGGGGTAGAGAGACCGATCCAACTCGCTTCATTCGCTTCTTCCCTTCCTTCTGCTTCTCTAATAGCTTCCGCTTGCGCGACACGTCACCGCCGTAACACTTCGCGAGTACATTTTTACGCATAGCTGAAAGCCTGATGGGGGAGGAAAATGAAGTTCGTAAGTATCAGTGGAAATGAGGATACGCGGGGTAACGCGTAAACAGGAAAAGAAATTTGGACGATGAAAGTGTAAACTTGTGTGGAGGCGTACCGGTACCTTCAACCTTGTGTGCCCAGTGCCCACTCACCTTTCACTTGCGATCACTTTGGCGCCAATGGCTGCTTGGATAACCACCTCAAACATTTGCCTGCATGCATCCAACGATTTGTGTTTGTGTTTGTGTTTGTGTTTGTGCGTGTGCGTGTGCGTGTGCGTGTGTGTGTGTGTGTGTGTGTGTGTGTGTGTGTGTGTGTGTGTGCGTGTGTGTGTGTGTGTGTGTGTGTGTGTGTGCAACAACGTTGCATGGTATGAAATAGGTGCACACACGACACAGGAGGGGGATGGTAATTGGAACAAGCGCATCAGTGTGCTTTCAACCGTCGATGAAAAAAGAAATATTCTACAGAAATCAATGTTGGCAGATTCAGTTTGTACCCACCTGTCCAGGGCCCCTCTGAGTCGCTCCACCAGCTTTCTCCCCATCCTCTGTGTCGCCTCTCTGTGAGCTATGGCTGCCAATGCCTCTGATACCCCTCGGTCCCTGTACTTCGGTTCCTCTAGCGCCCACCTGTCCAGGACCCCTTTGGGTCGCTCCACCCACTTTCTCCTCATCATCTGCACCGCCTCTCTGTGCGCAATGGCGATGCTTCCCCCCGCGCCCTGTGCTTTCATCCCTCCCAACCCACCCACCTGTCCAGGACCCCTTTGAGTCGGTCCACCAGCTTTCTCCCCATCCTCTGTGCCGCCTCCCTGTGGGAAATGGCTGCCAACGCGTCCACTGGCTTCCCGTTCAGCAGCAGGTCTACCTTCACCAGATCCGCCTCCCTCATCCTAAGGAGAGGGTGGGGGTGGTCGGGGGGGGAAGGGGAGGTGGTTATACTGGTTTCATCGCTCAAAACCGAACCCCCTATCTCACCCATACCTGAACCCCCAATCTCACCCGGCATCTTCATTCATCGTTGAACGTGGCAAAGCCAGAGGATATGCTCTTGAAGTGGCCATAGAAGTCCATCGCCCTTCCTTCTCACCCCCTATCCTCCTCACTCCCGACCCTCCTCCCTATGTTGAAATCAACCCACACGTACTTCAGCCCCATCTCACCCCGCATCTTCATAGTCAAACGTTGCAAAGCCCGAGGATATGCTCTTGAGGTGGCTGTAAAAGTCCATCACTACTTCCCGCACCGGCATCTCGTAGCGCAGCATGGCCCGGTCCCTGCAGGGGGGTCAGAGGCCAAGGGAATGGGATGGGAGCAACAGAGCACATGGTGGCTCGTTGCGGTGGAGAACTGCTCTTGAGGTGGCTGTAGGAGTCCATCACCACCTCCCTTACTGGCATCTCGTAGGGCAGCATGGCCCGGTCGCTGCAGGGAATATGGGGCAGATGCTGGAGGCCCATCGGGGTGAAATAACTCGATTATTGAGTCGACTCAAAAGTCTAGTTTTGAGGCGCCTCAAAATTAAGTCGATTTTTTAGTCGACTCAAAAGTCGCCGCAGGGAATCTGGGGCAGATGCTGGAGGCCCATCACCACCTCAGGGTTTAGGGTTTTAGTGGTGATGCAATGACCGCATCTCGTTGTAGGTGATTTTTTAGGATTCAAAAAAAAAAACCTACGCAGTGACCGCATCTGGTTCCATAGCATGGCGCGTTATCTGTGGCAATGAGTGGTAAATCTGGAGGGGAAAGTAGTTCGGAGAATGTGAATCTGTGACAGAGAAAGTAGTATCTGTGAATCCGGAGAATGTGCGGCAGCCTGGCTGCACAGGTCCTTCCTTCACCGCCTTCCTTCCACGCTGGCAGGCACTAGCCCTGGCTCGTTCACAGGAGCTCAAGCCACGGGCGGCCCGTGTGTGTGAGGCCGGAAAGAAGCCGCATAGGGGAGGAAACACGCATCGATGTGAGCGTTCAATCTCTGCGTGGTCTTTGACCAGAACTCACCCGTCAATAAAAGAGTACTCTTTCTGTTCGCCCCTCCTGCTCGCACAGAGCTCCATGACCGGCCCAACGTACCTGGAAGGGGGGGAGGGGGGGGAAGGCGATATTGCGTAAAGCGAGGGAACGAGGGAGGCAGGAGTTTCGAGCTTAAGAGTACTCTTACTGTTCGCCCTTCCAGCTCGCACACAGCTCCCCGGCCCAACATACCTGGGGAGTCCGAGGGGGGAGCCGGGATTGGGTAAAGCGAAGGAACAGGGGGAACAAGGGGTGCCAGGGTTTTTGAGTTAGAAGTAATCTTTCTGTTCGCCCCTCTTGCAGTTCAGTGCAGTGATAAGGGCGAGCATTTTAAAATTTAGCCTACTCACTTGGAGGGGGGAACTCACTTGGAGGGGGGAACTCACTTGGAGGGGGTAACGATTGTGGCAAGCACGAAAGGTTCGGTGCAGCGAACCACACGCTGCTTTGGGATGGATGGGATGTCCGAAGGGCCCTGGGCCTCTATGCGCCTGGATATGGAGTAGGAGGAAGAGAAAGGGAGGGAAGAAAAAAGGGAGCGCGGAAGGGGAAGGGAGTCGGCGGAAGCAGGGTGGAGGGCAGAGTGGGAAGGGCAATGGGTGGCATGTGTGGGCGAAGCGAATGTAGGTATCGTGGGGAACGGCTAAGTGGAGATATTGCAAAGAAACGCGTGTAGATGATGTCAAGAAGAGGTGGTCTCGGATGCATGATGGGTGCAAAAAAAACATGACACGGGATGACATGGGATGGGATGGCATGGGACTGCACATGCACTCACGTGCCGTCGGCGTATTCAAAGACGGCAGGCACGGACGGAGCAGTGGAGATGACGTCTGCCCCAAACTCCTGCTGCAGGCGCTGGTGGAACACGTCCATGTGCAGCAGCCCTAAGAAGCCGCACCTGGGAGGCAAGGACAGGTATCAACGCGCACAGGTGTTAACAGGTGCAGGCGCATTGAGGGCCAGCTTGTGCACCTCCCACTGGTAACTCCTGCTGCAGGCGCTGGTGGAACCCGTCCATGTGGAGCAGCCCCAGGAAGCCGCACATGGGGAGGAACAACAAAGTAGAGGAGCACTTAGGCCCTCACTCACGGACTCACGCACTCACTCACCCACTCGCTCACTTGCTTACTCACCCAGTCACTTACTTTAGACTTTTCCCTTTACACACACACACACACACACACACACACACACACACACACCTGAATCCAGCCCCCAGGGCAACGCTACTGCATCTGGTAACCGCAATGCTGGCGACGTTGCGTTCCTTCCCCTCCTCCCCCCCCCGCACCTGAATCCAGCGCCCAGGGCGGCGCTGCTGTATCTGGTAACGGCAACACTAGCATCGTGGCACACGAGCTTATCCACGGCATTGGCAAGCCCCTCAAAGTCTGAACCATCGGCCGGAAACACCCCCGCATACACCATGTGAGAGGGTGCTGCACTCCCCACCCTCCTTCCCTTTTTCTCACTCATTCACTAACTCACTCTCCCACTCACTCTCACACTCACTCACACGCTCACTCTCACATGCCCCCGCCCCCTCCCCCATACCTGAATCCAGCCCCCAGAACGGCGCTGCTGTATCTGGTAACCGCGACGCTGGCGTCGTTACACACGAGCTTGTCCACAGCCTTGGCAAGCCCCTCAAAGTCCGAGCCGTCGGCTGGGAACACCCCGGCATACACCATGTGCTGCGCTCCCGGCCCTCCTCCCCTCTTTCTCACGCTCCCATGCTCGCTTGCTCATACCGGTGCGCGAGTCGGCCCCCGCCCCCTCTCCCTCCCCCTCCTCCATCTCCCCCCTCCCCCTAAAACACACCTGAATCCAGCCCCCAGGGCGGCGCTGCTGTATCTGGTAACCGCGACGCTGGCGTCGTTACACACGAGCTTGTCCACGGCCTTGGCCAGCCCCTCAAAGTCCGAGCCGTCGGCTGGGAACACCCCGGCATACACCATGTGCTGCGCTGGCCGGAAGCCCGGGAGGGGTGTGACCTCTGCCTTGTGGTGGTGGATGGTGTCGCCTATCCTTGCTTCCCTGGTGGTTCGCATTCCCAGCATCACATACCCCACCTGCCATCCAAGGGGGGGGTAGGGGGGAAGGGGGGAAGGGGGGAAGGGGGGAAGGGGGGAAGGGGGGAGTGCTGGCTATACTCAAGGAAAAGGGTGGGATCACTGCCATTCATCTGCTGGTGGATGGTGTTGCATATTCTCACCTCCCGTGTCGTTCTCATTCCGAGCATCACATACTCAAAATACGGGTTAACTCCCACTGCTCACACTCACCCACCCACCCACCTGGCCAGTAAGCAGACAGCCCATGGGTGTTGCCTCTCACGCCCATGCCTGCTACTGCCACCCTCTCGCCCTCCCTTATAGCCCCATCCACCACTGCCACACCCTTATATGAGTCACTACCAATGCTCACACCGCACTTCCACTCACTCACCTGCCCAGTGAGCAGACAACCCGTAAGTAATGGCTTCAGGGTGCATGAACCCCACCTACCCCACATCTCCTTCACGGCCCAGGGACTAGCGCACCTCAAACCTCCACATGTTTCCGGGCTGCCTTCCGTGCACCCACCTGGCCGGTAAGCAGGCAGCCTGTAGGTGTGGCTTCAGGGTACATGACCCCCACCTCCCCCACGTCATAGCTCATGCCCATGCCTGCCACCGCCACCCTCTCGCCCTCCCTGATAGCCCCGTCCACCACTGCCACGTGGCACACCACTCCCCTGTACTCGTCAAAGTGCGCGTCCAACAGGAGCGCACGCAGCGGGGCGGCAGGGTCGCCTGGGGGAGGTGGTATGTGGTGGTTGAATGGCACAGAGGAGACAGGGTAAGTTAAAACTTGTATCAAGAGAAAGGAGGGCAAGGGAACGAGCTACATATACGGTCACCTGGGGGAGGTGGTATCTGGTTACCTGGAGGAGGTGGCATCTGCTCGATGATGGCGGAGAGGAGCGATGGCAGGCCGGCTCCCGTGCGGGCTGATGTGAAGAGGCAGGAGGCACGGGGCAGGTCGAAGGTGCTACATATCTGAGCGGCAATGGCTGTAAGGGGAGATTGGGCGGGGGGCGGGGGGCGGGGGAGAGAGGAGTGGTTAAGGAATCAGGATATGTTGGCGGATTATAATGGAGGGGCGAGGAGAGGAGGCAGAGAGAGCAAAGGGAGGGGGGTCCACTGTCCAGCACTTGAGAGACGCGGAGGTTGAATGGGCTGGAAATGCGGTGGCAAGGCAAGGCAAGGCAAGGCAAGGCAAGGCAAGGCAAGGCAAGGCAAGGCAAGGCAAGGCAAGGCAAGGCAAGGCAAGGCAAGGCAAGGCAAGGCAAGGCAAGGCAAGGCAAGGCAAGGCAAGGCAAGGCAAGGCAAGGCAAGGCAAGGCAAGGCAAGGCAAGGCAAGGCAAGGCAAGGCAAGGCAAGGCAAGGCAAGGCAAGGCAAGGGTGGTGGTGGTGGGCGGTGCAATGGGGGATGGGGGCGGGGGGAGGCGAGCAAAATAGAATGGATAGTCTCGACAACCCCTTTCAGCATCTCCCTTCCCTTTCAGCATCTCCCTTCCCTTTCAGCATTTCCCTTCCCTTTCAGCATTTCCTGCATCACATTGCGCCTTGGGGGTTGGCATCGGGCCTGTCGGCCTTGTTGACCACCGGGGCCACAGCAAGCCCTCCCTCGAGCGAGAGGAAAAAGTTGGCAACAGTCTGCGCCTGAATGCCGTGCTGCACGTCACGTCCACTCCACCACCAGCAGCAGCAGCACGCTCTGCTTCATTCCTCTACCCCCCCATCCCTCCTCTCTGAGTCTCACCTTGGGGGTCCGCATCGGGCCTGCTGATCATATTAACCACGGACACGACAGCCAGCTACCCTCCTAGGGTTTGGGGTTTAGGGTGGCAACGGCCTGCGCCTGAACGCCCTGCTGCGCGTCCACCAGCAGCGGCACGCCCTTTGATATTCCTCTACCCCCCCATCCCTCCTCCCTGAATCTCACTCACCTTGAGGGTCAGCATCCGGCCTGTCAATCTTGTTCACCACGGGCACGACAGCCAAATCTCCTTCCAGAGCGAGGAAGAAGTTGGCGACGGTCTGCGCCTGAATGCCCTGCTGCGCGTCCACCAGCAGCAGCACGCCCTGAGTGGCAGCCAGCGACCGCGAAACCTCGTAGCTGAAGTCCACGTGCCCAGGCGTGTCGATCAGATTCAGCAGATACCGCCCCGGAGGGGGGTGTGGCGCTGCTGGGTCACCAGTGTGGGTGGGTGGGGAGTCACCACCAGCAGCAGTGGTGGTGGTTGCTGGAGAGTAGTCGAAGAGCATGGTGGCAGTCTGCGCCTTCACTGTGATGCCCCGCTCCCTCTCCACCTGATGGGGGCATGGGGAGCCAAGAGGCCCATGGGGAATACGTAGAGCAGTGGAGGGTGAAGGGGGAGTATGGAGGGTACAGAACGGTTCGTCCAGGTGCTTCAAGAATGCCATAAATCCCACCTGCAGTTTGTGCAGGTACTGCGGGCACGCCACCCCCTTTGTGTCGCTGGGCGTGAGCGTGCCAGTCATCTCCAACAGCTGGTCTGCAAGTGAGAAAGTTCCGATATATGACACTTAAAGCCCACCTGTAGCTTATCCAGGTACTGCGGCCGCGCCACCCCCTTGGTGTCGCTGGGCGTGAGCGTGCCAGTCATCTCCAGCAGCCGGTCTGCCAGCGTGGACTTGCCATGGTCCACGTGGGCCACTATGGAGAAGTTTCTGATCCGATCTGGCGGGAAGGCCGAGAGGTCTATGGGGGCCTTGCCGTGCCTTGCGCTGCTGCAGCTCGTGCTAAGGCTGCTGCTGGCAGTGCTGCTGCTGGTGCTGGTGTTGGTGCTAGTATTGCTGCTGCTGCTGTTGGCAAGTCCTGCATGGCTGCTAGCATCGTCACTGTAGCTACGGGTGCTATTGCTGCCGCTGCTGGCTGCGATTCTGACCACATTCTCAAACCCCAGGATATCACTCCTGCTACTCCAACTACTGCTGGTGGCGATGTGTCTGCCGCTCAGTATCCTATTATTCCTACTGTCGCTGCAAGAGTTAGAACCCGCGACACTACGGCAGCCCTGCGCGAATTCGTGCCGAAGTTGGTAACCAGCTGGCTGGAAAGGTGCGCGCCGGCTGGTCCAATCGCCAGCCGCGTGCTGCCACGTGTCCTGACAGGCGAAGTTAGAAAGCCATTCGTCACGGATCGGAGCAGCGGGCTTGGCGGACGACCCTGAAGGAGAAAGCCGGGCGAAAAGCGGCGCGATCAGTGAGTCTTCCGTGGTCAACGGGAGAGCTGGTGGCCCCGTGTCACCACACGTGACTGTCCCGGCGAAGGTACGTTCGCGGCGGATGAAAGGGGAGCGAAGCTGCCTGCAGATGGCCGAATGAGTCGCCGCTCTACGGGCAGCCATGGCGGCCGGGTGCCCATAAAGTTGACTGAAGAATTACCTCTGACTTCATTCAGGAAGGCATGGCGGCAGGTCGTCCGCCGTAAGAGCTGCTGCTGTGAGCGCATAGCTTGTCGGCCTGGGCAATTTCGAGGCATCAGTATTATTCTCAGCTTATAACGCCGATAACTGTACACAAAGCCTAATATCTATTGCTGTAAATATTGGCATTACCCTGATCTCATGGCGTCATGGTATAAACTGTAGGCGGTTACGGCAGACATGTCAGGTGTCCCCCATTGGGAATTCCTATCATTTGACTTGTGCTGAGTGGTCCCGCGAAACCCGATTGCGAACTGCGCGACTGGCTGTAACGAATTTCCTCGTCGCTGACCGCGCCGCGTTCGTTCAGGTGCCACCAATCCCAAGGCGCGGTTGGAGATGGCATCAGTAACGTTTCACGTGCCCGAGCTACTGGGGCAACTTCAACGGCCAACACAGCCCTCGAGCCATTCTCAGCCGTCCGATCATGGCGGGCAACCTCGACATTCCTCGAATTGCCAACAAAGCACGCCTGCGACTGGAGTGCTGAGTTGGTGGGGTTCAGGAGATCCCGATCGGCAGGTTCGCGCGTGCGAGGAAACGTCAGCAGCCTGACCGACTTCGCTGCCTTTCCCCAACCACCTCACCCCGAGCCTCACTCTCGGCTCGCCAACTTGGCTTGTGGGAAACGCTGGCGCTGCTGTTGATGACGCCTTGGGATTTCAAGTTCTAGCAGCAAACCCCCTAGGATGTACCGAGCCCCCCCCTAGAAATCTCCAATTTTATGTCACCTTGGAATTTCAATTGGAGCTAGAAATTTGAATCAGGTCTAGAATTCTGTACCAAGCTCTTCACTTACTCAAGCTAGCCAAGGCCATTTCTTGGTGCTTGAGAGCATTTTAGCTTGGTACCGCGAGTTAGTTGATTTGATACTTCCCTCCTCTTCTGTTCCACTGACTAACTCGCCAAGATGGTGAAGATCTGCTGTATCGGTGCCGGATATGTCGGCGGTCCCACCATGGCGATGATCGCATTGAAGTGTCCCCACATCGAGGTACGCGAGGGTCGGCTTCGCACGATTTCGTACCAGTTCGCACAGTTTCGTAGCCGCTGCTGCAGGAGATCCGTTTCAGCAGCCGTTTCTTTGTCCATCAGCCTTCACTGTGACGATCAGCCTTCAGGGTGTGAATGTCTGTGTCTGAGAGATCGTGCTGGTTGTGATTACCCCCTTCAGGTGTACGTCGTGGACATTAGCAAGCCTCGCATTGCTGCTTGGAACAGCGATCGCCTCCCCATCTACGAGCCAGGCCTTGACGAAGTTGTAAGTTGATCTACAGCAGTGTTCGAACAGCAAGAAATCGCCTCTGACATCGCTTCTGATAAACCAACGCTGGATGGATGCGGATGTTGGATTGCAGGTCAAGGAATGCCGAGGGAGGAATCTATTTTTCAGCACTGAAGTCCAGAAGTATGTGGCTCTGTGCGATATCATCTTCGTCAGCGTCAACACCCCCACAAAGACCAGGGTACGTGCAACGGATCCTATTCTGCACTTTCAATTGTTTTAACCGCACGTTCCTTGTCTGTCAGTGGGACGATTTCTTTTCTCACGGGCGTTCTTGATGGTTTCAGGGTCTAGGAGCCGGAAAGGCCGCCGATTTGACATACTGGGAGAGCGCCGCCCGCATGATCGCCGATGTCTCAAATTCTGCCAAGATTGTACGTGTCCGGACCGGGAGCGGGGAAGCTGATCTGACTGACTGTTCTCAGCCCTGTTTTCCAAGACGATTTATACTGTGGTGGGTCCATGAAATAACGTTGATCCAACGGTTAATTTCAGGTGGTGGAGAAGTCAACAGTCCCTGTGAAGACCGCCGAAGCCATTGAGAAGATCTTAACGCACACTAAGAGTGGTGTCCAATTTGATGTAAGTCGCGTTACCATTTCTGCTATTTAAGCCCGGAATAAGAGAACGAGCAAGCGTCGTTTCTAGTATTCGATTCTAGGGTGACCATCGGTGTGGAATTGTGCAGATCCTGTCAAACCCAGAGTTCCTCGCTGAAGGAACTGCCATGGAAGACTTGCAGAAACCTGACCGCGTGCTCATCGGTAAGCAATACTTTCTTTCCCCTAAGATTTCAAGCCACTATGGCCCAGCCAGAAATCGTTCTATGAGTGCTTAACCGGAAAAAGAAAATTAACATAAGGAAAAATGCACTGACATTCCTGGGCCATCCGTTTCTTTCGCTGCAGGTGGTCAGGAGACGGAGTCTGGTCGCAAGGCCGTGGCGGCGCTGAAGGCGGTGTACGCCAACTGGGTGCCGGAGGAGAACATCCTCACCACCAACCTCTGGTCCGCCGAGCTGTCGAAACTCGCAGCCAACGCGTTCCTCGCGCAAAGAATCTCCTCCATCAACGCCATCTCTGCCCTGTGCGAGGTGCGTGCGTGCGTGCGCCTGTGCTCTGCTCTGCACCCCTTCCGTATCGCAACACCGCAACAGCCCTTAAATCCGCACATCTTGTACTTTTTTTCGCCTGCTTCTCGCGACGTTACTTCATTTCGCGTCCTCCCTTCCATTCGGTCAATCGTGCAGTCAACTGGCGCGAACGTGTCCGAAGTGGCGTTCGCAATCGGCAAGGACACTCGCATCGGCAAGCGCTTCCTGCAGTCCAGCGTTGGCTTCGGAGGCTCCTGCTTCCAGAAGGTGATTGTTCTTGCGAACCAGGAATCCACGATGCTCACTGGGCCCTACAAATGGCTCCTTATTGATAGAGATACCTTTACCCCCTGAGTCCCTAACGTTTGGTCTTTCTCCCCCTATTTCAGGATATTCTGAACCTGGTGTACATCTGCGAGTGTAACGGCCTGACTGAGTGCGCCAAGTACTGGCAGCAGGTCATTGACATCAACGACTACCAGAAGAACCGCTTCGTCAAGGTGCGTTGTGATATGCCATCAAAACTGGAATAAGCAACTCGGGGAATCGGGCCGATTCGTGCTCCTTTCTATTTTGTTGTGACCTCGAGAATGCTGGGAGCATGCATGCTACAGTTTTATTCACACAGTAATTGAACTTGGTGTGGTGCCTACCTACTGTGAATTAACAGCCTAATTTTCTTTCCCCCTAATCCTTCTGCCTTGTGGCTGCAACGTGTGATGCACGTGCTGAGCATTCGCTGATGAACTCAGAATGTCAACTACCTTTGCGAATGCCCCCCCCTCCTCCCCACCCCCCTATGCAGAGGATCGTATCGTCCATGTTCAACACGGTGTCGGGCAAGAAGATCGCCATCTTCGGATTCGCGTTCAAGAAGGACACTGGCGACACCCGTGAGACGCCTGCCATTGACGTCTGCCACGGGCTGCTCAACGACCGTGCCTACCTGCACATCTACGACCCCGAAGTCACGTGAGTGCCCATGTGTTAGGGGGGGGTGGATTTGTTCCAAGCTGTGAAGAGGGGGCTGGGATTGTGTAGAGAGAGAGTGCATGAACTTGGCGCCTTGAGGGTTTTGGGGAAAAGACGGGCTTGGCGCATGAGTATACTATGTGGTGGTAGGTTTTCAAGTGCAGGAGCAGAACCTGATAGTGGTCCTGGTACAACATGAGAGTGGCCGTACAGTTGGTGTGCACACCTGGTGAGCTTCATATTCATCTGATCTAGTTTTCTTTCCTTTCCCTTGTCTCCCATTCCCCCCCTCTCCGCCCTCTCCCCACCCCCCCAACCCCCTTCCCCATCCGCCACCCAGCCTACCTCACCCCTGCTTGCCTATCGGTACCCCATCCCCTCAGTGAAGAGCAGATTCGCCAGGAGCTGGGCACAGGCAAGCTCGAGTGGGTTCACCTGCCGGCCATTTCTTCTCACTCATCCCTGCCCCTCGCTCTCTCCCCTACCCTGTGTACTTGGTTCCCTCAGTGAGGAGCAGATTCGACGGGACCTGGGCACGGGCAAGTTCGAGTGGGACCACCCGCTGCCCATGCAGTCCCCCACCTCGATGGACGCTTCATCGCGCGTCACCGTGGACGCGTCGCCCTACGAAGCGGCCAAGGATGCGTCGTGCATCGCAGTGATCACGGAGTGGGAGGAGTTTAGGACGCTGGACTACCAGAAGCTGTACGACGGCATGCAGAAGCCCGCGTTCATCTTCGACGGGAGGAACATTCTGGACGTGGAGGCGTTGAGGAAGATTGGGTTTATTGTCTACTCGATTGGGAAGCCGCTCGACCCCTGGGTGAAGGACCTTGCGATTTCCATTTAAATATAAACCATTACAGTATAGACAAACGTTTGTAGAGGTTATGACGATTTTCTACGGTTCTGTACTTGCTGGGTGGAGGAGCTAATGCTGTGAAATGGTGTTGCTATGGGTTCTTGAGGGTATCTATACACAGAATGTGTCAATAGATTGCACAACTGATAGTACTGTCCATTTTCTGACATCTTGTGATCAGAGGGACGAACATAGCCAAGTGCTTAATTTTTCCTGCCACTCCAAATCAAGTCTGATCAGGCAATACACTCTTTAGTCCGAATCCTTTCTTGCAGTTACCAACACAGGCCCTGGCCTAGACACAATCCGAGCAGCCAGCTTCAAGTTAATTCTGGTGCACCCTGACACATCTAACACCTGGAGCTTCTTGCATGCCTTGACTGCACTGCTCACACTCGCCTCAGAAACCTGCCAGTGGCACATAAACAGAAGGCAATGCGTTTCATCATCAACAGCAGCTTCGAGGTGAACTGGTGGGGTTACCTGTACAAGGGTTTTATACAAGGGTACAAGGGTTTTATACCTGTATGCAATCTCTCAGCAGCTACTCCGTACAAGGGTTTTATACCTGTATGCAATCTCTCAGCAGCAGGCGGAGGAGATTGGGGCAGGCAGCAACAATGCAGGCAACACCGGCATCAGTCAGAGAGCAGCTGGCGATAGAGAGGGTCTTGAGTGACAAGAAGCGGTGGGGGGGCTTGGAGGGAGGAGGAGAAGGGGAAGAGGAAGAGGAAGGATTGCAGGGGGGCGAGGAGGAATCGGACGAGGACGTAGATGGGATGTGGGAAGAGGGGGAAGCAACACAGGGTACGTGGGGGGAGAGTCCAGTGCCGAGGAGATAATCAGAGAACACGTGGAGCTCTGAGAGCGAGGGGCAGCTGGCGGCTAGCGATTGGAGTGACGCGTCTGTCATGGTGCAGTCGATCTGTCATGCGTGGGTGAGGGACGGAGGAGCATGGAACGGGGGAGGAGAGGGAGGGGAGGAGAGGGAGGGGGTGAAGTCTGAACTGAAAGTATTCCAAGATGGGGAGATAAGGGAGAATAACAGAAGAGTAGTTGAGATACTACTCTTCAAAGGGATTGAGTGTTGGAAACGGTCAGAGTGGGTGTGTGAAGGTCTGAGTGGGTGTGCGAAGGTCAGAGTGGGTGTGTGAAGGTCTGAGTGGGTATGCGAAGGTCAGAGTGGGTGTGTGAAGGTCAGAACCTGCAAGGCTGGAAATTTCTGAGAAGCCTGGAGGCAAAGGCACTCACGTCAGGTGCACCAGCGACTTGGAACATTCCGATTAGCTTCGCGTGGCGTTTCTTGGAGCCGGGGTCGAAGCGCAGGGACTTGAGGGCGGGGCAGGCAGCAGCAATCACGGCAATGATCGCGTCTGACATGCCGAAGCAGGGCAGCACCAGGGACTCCAGAGGTGGCGGCTGGATGGGACCCTTGGAAGGAAGGTTAGCAGGGGTTGGATGGGTAGCCGTGGTAGCAGGGGGAGTGGCGGCAGCAGTGGTAGTAGCAAGAGAAGGAGGAGCAGTGGCAGGAACCGCAGGAGGAGCAGCATTAGCAGGAAGGGCAAGAGGAGGAGGAGGAGCAGCAGCAGCAGCTGCATCAGTTATCCTTGGACCAAGAACTGCTGCTGGTGTTGATGTTGATAACCATGCAGCAGCACTGCCACCAGCAGCAGCGCCACCAGCAGTGGTGCTGCCAGCAGCACCAGCACCAGCAGCAGTGCCACCAGCAGCAGCGCCACCAGCAGTAGTGCTGCCAGGAGCACCAGCACCAGCAGTAGTGCTACCAGCAGCAGTGCCACCAGCAGCAGTGCCACCAGCAGCAGTGCTGCCAGCAGCACCAGAACCAGCAGCACCGGCACCAGCAGCAGCGCTGCCAGCCCCTAGGCGGGTGTCAGGTGATTTGGGGCGAGGCGAGGCAAGAGCAGCCAGGCGGGAGAAGAAGGCTCCTGGGCTCCTGGGCGGCTGGATGCGTTTGGGGGCCAAGTGAGCGGGGATACGGGAGTGGGGGTTAGAAAGGGGGCTATTGGTTCCGCTGTCTGTGTTAGCAGCTGTGATGCTGCTGTTAGGGGTGCTGCTGGTGCTTATGCTGTTGATAGGCATGGCTGTACCGGTGGTGTGGGCACTGTGTGGTGCTCTGGAGGAATCGGCAGCTGAAGCCGCGACGGTAGAGTGGGTGGTGGTTGTTGCAGCAGCGGGAGAGAGAGTGATGCGAGACGTGGTGCCGAAGCTGATGCGACGAAGAGAGGGACAGGCGACAGTGAGACTGCAGAAGGGTCAAGGGGGTAAGGGGAAAAGACAGGGGAGAGGCAAGGGGAAAATCAGGGGGGGGGATAGTGAGGCGAAACAGGAGGGGGGGGGAGAGCAGGAGAGAGGGTGATGCGAAATGTGGTGAGTGTGAGTGATGCGTGAGTGAGGGTGGTGCAATTTTTTTATGCGTGAGTGATGCGTGAGTGAGGGTGGTGCAAAATTTTTACGCGTGAGTGATGCGTGAGTGAGGGTGGTGCAATTTTTTTATGCGTGAGTGAGGGTGGTGCAATTTGTTTATGCATGAGTGATGCGTGAGTGAGGGTGGTGCAATTTTTTTTATGCGGCGCAGAGAGGGGCAGACGTGAGTGAGACTGTTAGTTGCAAGTGGGGGGAAAATGGTTGAGGGAGAACGCTAAGGGACGCAAAAAGGCGGACAGAAAAGAAAGAAAGAAACAAAAAAAAAGGGGGAGGTGCTGGTGCAGGAGAAATGGTTGATGAGCAGAGGACATTGGAGAACAATTAACTGTTGGAGGTGCTATAAGGCGTTTGATACAACACTAGGTTGAGACCTGATTGGAGTAGGGGAAAAAAGGCAGCAGAAGGCATAGGGAAACCTATTCGATCTCGAGACAAGCCCGTGGGCGGCGGGCGAGCGAGCGCTGACCTTTCGATCCACGCTGCATTGATAATCTGATTGGCCTGAAAGTAGGCGGACAGCGTCCGGAGAGCCGGCAGCCGGCGGATAGGGGAACCAGCAACAGCACCAGCAGCAGCACCGGGCACAGGAGCAGCAACACCACCAGGAGCGCTCCCTGCTGCGGGTCCTGTCCAATCCTCCCCTCCACAGCTGCTCTTCCCTCCAACCACCTCTCCCTGTATCCCCCATATAAGCCCCTCCACCCAATCTGGCAGCAGGGGGCTCTGGCCGAGGTCAAGTGATTGTAATGAAAGGCAGCGGGAGAGGATGGGGAGGGCTTGGGAGGGGCGGAGGGCGTGGCAGGCGTTGACGCGGAGGGATTGGAGGGCGGGGCAGTGGGATCCAAGGGAGGCGAGGCCTGCTGGGGAGATCTGGATGGGTGGGAGCGGAGAACAAATAAAAGGCACATGCATATGTGCACAAGGGCGTGGCAGGTGTTGACGCGGAGGGATTGGATGGTGGGGCAGTGCGAGGCGAGGGAGGCGAGACCTGCTGCAGATATCTGGTTGGGTGGGGGAGTGGAGCACACACGTATACACAGACACATGCTCTTGAAAGCGTGAGGGGGTTGGGCGGAGGGCGTGGCAGGCATTGACGCACAGAGAGAGGAGGGCGGAGCAGTGGGAGGCGAGGGAGGCGAGGCCGACTGGGGAGATCTGGATGGGTGGGGGTTGGGCGCAGAGATAGAAGCACATACAGTGCTCACGTAGACACAAACATGGACATAAGAATGTGACAGGCGTTAACGCGGAGGGTGAGGAGCGAAGGGCAGTCCGAGGCGAGGGTGGTGAGGCCCGCTGGGGAGGCCTGGTTGGGGGGGAGTGGGGCAAACACGCGTACAACACAGACACATGGTCATGAGAGCGTGAGGGGGTTGGGCGGACGGCGTGGCAGGCGTTGACACGGTAGGATTGGAGGGCGGGGCAGTGCGAGGCGAGGGAGGCGAGACCGACTGGGGAGGTCTGCTGTGTGGTGGGAGTGGGACACAGGGAGCAGCACATAGATATGGACGTAATCCGTGTGTAATGAGTCGATTTTTTAGTCGACTCAAAAATCGACTCATTACACACGGATCTGCTTTGTGGTGGGAGTGGGACAGAGGGAGCAGCACATAGATATGGACGTAAGACCATGGCAGGCGTTGACACGGAGGGGGGGAAGGGCGGGGCACTGCGAGGCGAGGGAGGCGAGGGAGGCGAGACCTATTGGGGAGATCTGGGGCAGGGACAGGACGAAGCAATGTAGCAAAGGCAGGGGAGGGTGTGCGGGAATGGGGCCGGTGAGGGGTAAGTGAATGCGTGAGCCTGCATGAGATGAATGCATGTGTGTTGTGTGCCTCTCCGAGAGAACTCTCAACTGGGAGGAAGAAGCGTCGAGGTACATGAGGAGGGCGGGGACAGCAGGAGGAGGCGAAAGTGGCAACGGCAGGTGTGTGCAAAACTGAACGGGGGATCGCTGCTCACCTGTCCAGACCGGCTGCACACCTGTCCAGACCGGCTGCTCACCTGTCCAGACCGGCTGCTCACCTGTCCAGACCGGGTGCTCACCTGTCCAGACCGGGTGCTCACCTGTCCAGACCGGGTGCTCACCTGTCCAGACCGGGTGCTCACCTGTCCAGACCGGCTGCTCACCTGTCCAGACCGGCTGCTCACCTGTCCAGACCGGGTGCTCACCTGTCCAGACCGGCTGCTCACCTGTCCAGACCGGCTGCTCACCTGTCCAGACCGGCTGCTCACCTGTCCAGACCGGGTGCTCACCTGTCCAGACCGGGTGCTCACCTGTCCAGACCGGGTGCTCACCTGTCCAGACCGGGTGCTCACCTGTCCAGACCGGCTGCTCACCTGTCTAGACCGGGTGCTCACCTGTCTAGACCGGGTGCTCACCTGTCTAGACCGGGTGCTCACCTGTCCAGACCGGGTGCTCACCTGTCCAGACCGGGTGCTCACCTGTCTAGACCGGGTGCTCACCTGTCTAGACCGGGTGCTCACCTGTCTAGACCGGGTGCTCACCTGTCTAGACCGGGTGCTCACCTGTCCAGACCGGGTGCTCACCTGTCCAGACCGGGTGCTCACCTGTCCAGACCGGGTGCTCACCTGTCTAGACCGGGTGCTCACCTGTCCAGACCGGGTGCTCACCTGTCTAGCCCGGGTGCTCACCTGTCTAGACCGGGTGCTCACCTGTCTAGACCGGGTGCTCACCTGTCCAGACCGGGTGCTCACCTGTCTAGCCCGGGTGCTCACCTGTCTAGACCGGGTGCTCACCTGTCTAGACCGGGTGCTCACCTGGGAGAAAGAAGCGTCGAGGTGCGTGAGGCGAGGGCAGGACGCGGCGACAGTGGCAAAGGCAGGGTCAGCAAGCTTGGTGCTCCAACTCAGGTCGAGGCGAGTGAGGCGGGGGAAGGAGGAGAGGAGTGGGCCAAGGCTCGACTCCCGCACCTGGAAGGGGCGTGGCAGGGAGTGAGAGGGGACTTGAGGCACCTTGAGGACTTGAACACGAAGGCAGGGTCAGCGAGCTTGGTGCTCCAACTCAGGTCGAGGCGAGTGAGGCGCGGGAAGGACAAGAGGGGGGGGGCGAGGCTGGACTCCCGCACCTGAATGCGGGTATGGGTGGAAGATTTTGGGTGGGTTTGAGACAACTGGAATCGAAGGGGATTGAAGAACGGAAAGCCGATCAACGCATACCTGAGTGGGGAGTGAGGGGGTCTCTCTATCAGAGAGCAGCTAGCAGCAACAGCCTCCAAGCCTTGACTCAACTTCGCATGACACACCTTCACCTCACCTTGAGACTCCTCAACTAACCCAGCACACTTGAGACTGGAAAGATAGCTCAAACCACATACCTGGGTGGGAAGAGAGAGTGTCTCTAGCAGTGCGCAGTTAGCAGCGACAGCCTCCAAGCCTTGACTCAGCTTCGCATGGTGCACCTTCACCCTGAGAGACTTCAACCTCACACACCCTCGCCCCACCCCCACCAGCACCAGCACCCGTGAACGGAAACCACAACAACTAAAGCGCACCTGGGTGGGAAGCGACAGGGTCTCTAGCAAACGGCAGCGAGCAGCAACAGCCTCCAAGCCTTGGGTCAGCTTCGCATGGTGCACCTTCACTTTGAGACACTTCAACCGCACACAACCTCCCCCCACCTCCACCAACACCCCGTCCGTCACCCCCTTTTGGTCCGTCAGGTTCAGGGTTTCTAGCCCCGGGCAGTGCTGTCCAATGGGGACCAGACACGTGGCAGGGAGCTGGGCGGTGGGGAGGACGGTGAGCGAGGAGAGGGAAGGGCCGGCCCTGGCGAGGAAGGAGGGGAAGTCGGAGGAGCGCTTTGGGGGGAGGCGGATGGAGACTGAAGGGTGGGCGCGCACTGGTGTGTGTGGGGGGGGGGGGGGGGAGGGGAGGGGAGCGGAGGGGGGGAGAGAGAGGGGTTGAGTGGGGGAGAGGGGGGGAGATAGGGGAGGGATAGGACGTTGAAGGAACTACAGGGTGGGGGAGGAGAGGGAGGGGCCAGCTTGGGCGACGGAGGAGGGGAAGTCGGGGGAGCGTTTTGGGCCAGGCGGATGGAGACTGAAGGGTGGGCGCGCACTGGTGAGTGGGGAGGAAGCACGTTGGGGGAAGCACATTGCAAGAGCAGCAACATCACTCCTGGTGGTGGTGGGGGGGGGAGGGGGGGGGTGGGGGGGGCTGGGAGAAGAGGGGAGACTATGCATCTTCAGAGAGCATAATCTTGCAGCAGAGAAGGGGTCAGATAGGATAGCAAACTAAATAGAACGGACCGACCCACGGTGGTAAAGCCCGGCCTCACTCGTTCCACCTACCAGCTAGCTGGTAGAGTGACCGGCAGCTGCCTCTTATGGCCGTCAGATCCGCCGGTTTCAGCAACTGCAGCACCTTCACCCACACGTCCTCTGGTAGACCAGCAAAGCTTGGATTCTTCTTCTGCTCATGCAGCTGTTCCTCCTGCTCTAGCTGCTGTTGCTCGTGGTGCTGCTTCTGCCCCTGCTCTTTCTGCTCATCCTGCTGTGCTTCATCTAGCAGTAGCACATTGGGGGAAGCATCTGCTGCTGCTGCTGCTGCTGCTGCTGCTGCTGCTTTGGATGCAGCAGCATTGGAAGCTGCGCTGAAAGGCCACCCTTGACTGGCTGCAGGCGAATCTTCAGCAACAGGATCAGCAGCAGCTGAATCTTGGCTGTTGCTCCTGGTGTGCGCCTCTGAATTGCGGCTCTTTGCCTGCTGCTGCCGCCGCTGCCGGCCGCCGCTGGAAGGTGCAGTGGCTGGGAAGGGGGGAAGAGGGGAAGAGGGGAAGGGTCGGATGCAGAGGCATCCAGACGGATTGTATTTCTGAGGCGCCTCAAAAATACTGGAAGGGTCGGATGCAGAGGTGAGGTACCGGCACGGATTGCTCAGGAGGAAAGCAAGAGAGGTTTTGGTGGTGACTGGAATCTGAAGACATGAAAGTGAAAGGAAAAAAGGAAATCTAGTTTTGAGGCGCCTCAAAACTAATCTGAAGACATGAAACTGAAAGGAAAAAAGGAAATCTGAAAGGCAAAAGGTGACGTGCCGAGGCATGTAAGGACGAGGTTTGCCTACCAGGTCGTGACGTCAGCAGAGAGGTTCTGGGTGGATTCGCGGAACCAGCAGCAGCAGTCCCACCGTGACTGTTCGCAGCACCGCCAGCACTCGCAGCATTGCCAGCCTTGCCAGCTTTCCCAACATTGCCGGGATTCCTGGGATTCTCGTTCCGCTCGGCATTCTCGACGTTCGCGTTATCGGCTGGCGATGTCAACGCGGACTGGCTCGCCTGTCGCGAGCCATGGCGCAGCTTCGGAAGCAACGCCCTCATTGTGCGGAGAGTATCTAAACAGATTCGACTATCTCTCTGGACAATCTCTTGACTGTATCTCTGTTTAGACAGCCTTTCTCTAGGCTAAGAGTCTCCGGTCAACAACCGGGCCAGACTGCACGACAAATGCCGCCGAGAGTTGCGGCAGAATGTACGATAACATCCTGAGCAACTGTAGCAATAGTACTGCGTCGGTTCAAGAATTCCCTTCCCGTTTCCTGAAACGCCGGCTTTGAGTTTCGCCTGCACCTAGGAATGTCAAGCCATCATGGAAATCTCCTGTTTTTGATTGGTGCAGGGGAAAGGTGCCAGTCTGAGACTCCGAGGATAGAATCGCGCGTCCTTGTTAGGCCTGCTTGCCATCCAAGCAGAATGCTTGACTTAGCTACACTGCCGCACCTACACGGTTTCAAGTATATACGTATGTATGATTTAATCAAAGCCTACACTTACGCACCTTCACTCGTGATATTTATCTGCGTGACACCAATACCTACGAACACAGGTTTTCTTATTGATTTTATCCTCTTTATCATCAGTGAAAGACATGAGAACGTTTGAAGGGATTGTTAGCCCTTTCACCAATTACGAATATCATAGGAAGGATTAGGAAGGATTGATCTCAGGTCTCTAGATTTGAAACTGGCACGTACGATCAGTATTAAGTATTTTCGAGTGTTCTAGCTTAGCTTTCAAGGACTTCCAAGCTAACTGACAGTATAAGCTCCAATCTGTATGAGCAAACTGTAGTTCATGGTTCCAGTACACCACATCTCCCTTGCCCGCCACTCCCTGCCCTCCCCCTCACATCATCCCAGCATATACCCAGTCCCCCTCCACCATGTCCTATTTCCACCATTTCTCCATTTCTCCTTTTCACAGCGTCTTTCCTTCCCTGCAAGCTCGGCATTCTCCCTGCCTTTCCTCTCCTCCCTTCCTCCCCCATCTTGCCCGTGTCCGCTCCTAACTCGCTGCTTCTTCCGTTTCTTTTTTTCACTCTTCTGCGGCTTTAGCACTCTTGTGTATTACTTTGGCAGCGCCAGGGGTGCGACCTTAATGTTGAATACACGTCTGCCCTTCCAATCGCAACCGTCGTCTTGCAGGTAGTGCTCTTTGTCTCTTACTCAGTTACTATGTATTTATTTTGTCGTTCGATCAGGGAGTTCCTATTTCTATGCCGGCCACCGCGCGACCCACGGCCCGCTTCGTTCGGCCTCCTCGCTAACCGCTGCGTCAGATTTTGGGACCTCGTCTCATAATCCGCGTTGGCGGTTGGCGTGGTCGGCTGACGTGGCAGGGCTGCTGGTTACCGCAAATGCGGAGGTTGGTTTCGCGGAATTCCCGAGAGGGACACGTGGTTCATAGTACCGATGGGATGCTTTTTCCTCTCATTCCATTGGCCTCCATATCCACTCACATTATTGAAGCAATAATGAACAGGAACTCACATTTCACGCATTGTTGTTTGATGTTGGCATGCCAAAAGGTTGGGACCAGTACCATCAATTGGACTTGAGGCACCTCTGACTGTGTTATTTGGCCTTATCTTGTGCCGTGTTTGCAGGTTCTGCGTGGAAGGTAGATGCTGAAGACATTTCGTTTGTTCAGGACCCAATTCGCATCAAGAGAACATTCCTAAACCTTAGTCAAGGAACTAGTTAGGCCTTTCATTAAGGGTGAAATACTGACGTTCCTGGTCAGGGTTCTTCAGCAGTTGCTGGCTTGGGGCTTTTCTGACTAGAACCGTGACTTGACTGGTGGTAGGGTGTGATGTTGCATGTGATTGTTGGAATGCTTTGCTTTCAAAGCCCTTGGAAAACCCCTCGTAATTCAGGCTTGGGCTTTAATATCATGCTGCACTAGAGCACATACTCTCTTTAGCACATTCAGCCACTGCTTGGCTCAACTCACAAGGGAAGTAACGCCCTACTGCTGGAGTGACAAGACAAAGTACACCCATCAGCAGAAATGCCAACTGCATCCTAGGGACAATGGGCTTGACGGGATAGGAGTATTGCCTAAATGACTTGGTGATACACCATGGCGTCTTAACTGATATTTTAGAGGCTTCCTGCTTGGATAACAGTACCAGGATTCTACAATGTGCCAAAAATGTGGTATGACAGGAGGTCCGGCGACGTGGGCAAATTGGTACATAAGGTCTATACTAGTGTTTGCAATAAGGCTTCCTGCTAGCATCATCGGAAGCTTCGGTAGTGAGGGTTGTACATTTTGCTGAAGGCATAAGCCAGGAGGTCCGGTGGCTTGGGCAGGTTCGTCGCCACACCTGTGGGAGGAAAGAGGAGGGTGGGTGGGACGTGAGGGGTGGTTGGCATTGCAAGTGGAGGAAACAAAAAAAATCTGCTGCTGTTGAATTGACTCAAGATACTACACCTAGATGAGGCCACACAAAGATGTTCTTTGACTCACCGAGGTCATAAGCCTTGGCGGCAACGGCCTTGGCAACACGTGCTGACATGTGTCGCATCGTCCAGATGGGTGGGTAGACTCGCCCCTGCTCCCTCATTCACACACTCACTCACCTGGAGTCACTCTTGAGAGTTTTCATACAGAAGTCCCCCCACTCACCGAGGTCATAAGCCTTGGCAGCAACGGCCTTGGCAATGTGTGCTGATATCTGTCGGATCTTCCATATGGGAGGGTACACCCGCCCCTGCTCCCTGTCCTCATCGCTCACCTGAGGGTAACCACACGTGGCAAGGGGTGTGAGGATAATGGTTGGTGAAGAGGAGTGGTGAGAAGCGGTGACGAGTGGTGAGGAGTGGTGAGGCTTGGTGAGGATTGGTGAGGAGATGCGTGGCATGCTGCTGCTCCTGCGTGCTAAACCCTAAACCCTGCAGGCTGCTGGAGCAATGCTCAGCCCTCATCTGTGCTGCCAGTGCTTCAGCTGCAGCAAGGAACATCTCGTCTTTTGAGTCGACTAAAAAAAGCAGCAAGGGACATTTCGACTCACATCCTTGTGGCACCACACCCAAGGCACCCGAGGCCAATGCCAGGGAAGACACAGGGCAAAGTTGCCGCGAAAAGCTGTTACTGCTGGTGCTGCTTCTGTTGCTCCTGTTGCTCACATCGAAAGCTCGCCTGTGCTGCCAGTGCCCCTGCTGCAGCGAGGAACATCTCGTCTCTCATCCTTGTGGCACCGCACATGAGGCACCCGAGTCCAATGCCCGGGAACGTGTAGGCACTGTTGCCCTGCCCTGCTGTTGCTACTGCTGTTGTTGTGTTACTGGTAACCACATTACGCTCACCTGTGCTGCCAGAGCCTCTGCTGCAGCAAGGAACATCTCGTCTCTCATCCTGGTGGCACCGCACATGAGGCACCCGAGGCCAATGCCCGGGAACACATACGCGTTGTTGCCCTGGCCCGGCACGAACCGCCTGCCGTCCATCTCCACAGGGGGGAATGGGCTGCCGCTGGCAAATACGGCCCGGCCCTGGTGGAAGAGAGAAAGGAGCGGAGAGGGAGGAGTGAAGGGTAAGCATCACGTATATGTGCCCTGGCCCAGTACGAACCGCCTGCTGTCCATCTCCTCTGGGGCGAATGGGCTGCCACTGGCGAATACGGCCCGGCCCTGGTGGGGTGGGAGGGAGGATGAGATGGGTTCACAGGAGCACATTTCACCCTAGCAAATGCATCTGATAACATAGAAGAGGAAGAAAACTACCTGAGAACATCGACCTGAGAACACCAAATCACCTGAGCATACCCACGCCACGCAAACACCCATTGAGCCCAGCAGCCCCACCCACCTGAGTCCACTTGTAGGCGTCCTCCGCGGTGCACTCAGAGAGAGAGGTGGGGTTGGAGAGCGCAAAGATGATGGGGCGCTGGTGGGGGACAAGGGGGAAGAGGGGAGAAGGGGCAACAGCAGGAGGAGGCGAAGGGGAATATGGGTGGTGTGTCTCTTCATTAGCGTCCTCTGGTGTGCACTCGGAGAGAGAGAGGTGGGGTTGGAGAGCGCAAAGATGATGTGACGCTGGTGGGGGATACAGGGGAAGGCCCGGGAGTGAAGGAAAAGAAGGGAATCAAGAGGAGGTGGGAGCGAGGACAAAGATGACGGGGTTTTGAGTCTATTTGTAGGTGTACTCTGATGTGCAGTCAGAGAGAGAGAGGTGGGGTTGGAGACAGCATGGAATGGGAGAAGGGGCGACAAAGGCAGTATTGAGGTAGGAAATAGGGACGACGCTGTGGGCTCAACAACAGCCTTCAGTGAAGTGTGACTTTTGAATCGAATCAGACATCACTGTACGATATAATGACCTGTCAGTGCGATGCCTTGAACGCTCTGGTCCTCTGTTCCTTTGAACACTCTGTTCCTTTGAACACTCTGTTCCTTTGAACACTCTGTTCCTTCCTCCTCACCTCGGTGAGTTGAGCCATGGCTTCACACACGGGCTGGGTGAATGTCCTGCTTGCCCTGCCACTACCAGTGCGGTGCCTGTCTTTCCCTCTCTTCCATATATAAATCAACCTCTCGGGGCAATACCCAGATACTCCCCCCCACCCTCACCTCGTTGAGTTGAGCCATGGCTTCACACACGGGCTGGGTGAAGGTTCCTGCCTGCCCTGACACTCCTATCAGTGCCGTTGGCCGTATGGTCTGTAACAGAGATAGGAGTGTCAGGGCGGGCAGATAGAGATAAGGAAAGAAACACACTGAGAAACGGAGTCAACACACTAGGTTTTCTCTGTGCGTACACGTTTGTGCGATGACGGGGTCAATGCTGCGATCGGACGTGCGTGATGACGGTCGTGAGGCATGCATGCATGCATGCATGTGCTTTTGACTGTGCCCAGCAGAAACTCACTTGAATGGTTTCCACGAGATCAGCTGACTCGGGGTGGTCATGTGCAAACGGCACCTTGTGTGGCTGCAGGGAGTCCACTCTGCTGCGCACCACTAGACCCTGAGATTAGGGGAGGCAGAATAGGGAGATGTGATTATGGGAGATGGGGAGATGTGATGCCAGTAATAATATGGCTAAACCTTCCAGCTATTTGCTCTGAGCACTTTCCTCAAGAGGAACGGATAGGTGGAGGAAAGGATGGATGAATTCCAGAAGAGAGGCATAAAAAGGTGCAAAGACATGACAGTCTATAAACCTCCTTTCTGAACACTTGGGAAGGGCAGCAATCAGGTGTAGCTTCTCACCTCACACGCCCTTAAAGCCTCGGGACGACTGACCTTTGAATCCACAAGCCAAATGCGCCCTCGGGCCTCTGCCAGCGAGATGTTCGCCTGCACATTGATGCGATATGGTGTGGAGGGGCAGAGATGGCGTGGGGTGGCCACATCAAGTGATTGAGCGTGCATGGAACCATGGCCGTGGCCAGCAACTCAGCAATGTCAGTGTTGAGTTGCAAAGCAAGCAGAGCAAACCCATACACGGGCTAACACCTTGGAGCATGCAATCCTCTGGTTACTGAACAAGTAGACATGAGCACGAGGCGAGGCGAGGAGTCCTCACCGAGGAATTCTAACCATCGCCCCCCAAACGCGGCGAGGCGAGGATTCCTCGCCGAGGAATTTTGAGGAAAAAACAATCCTCGTTCCTCGGGTTTTGAAGGCGAGGATTTTTTTCCTCGCCCCGAGGAAAGTATCCTCGACCCGAGGCGAGGATTTTTTGCCTCGATGGGGGTGTTTCTCTGAGTTTGGGGCATATGTGTCCGGTCCGGAACGAGCTACCCGTCAATGTGTTTTGAGCATCGCGACAACTTGCGAGCATCCCACTTTCCCCCACATCGCCAGTTCGACATTGAGTTTGACGCTCTCCAAACCCAAAACTACCCCCACCCCACCGCATTCAATCTCACATCGACATAGTTATCAGGTTGGACTCCAAACCAAAACCAATAAAACCCCCCGCTACCACATTCAATCTCACGTCACCTCCCTAACCCAACCTAACCAAATTGACATTATCAGGTTTGGACTCCAAATTCAAAAAGCCTCCCCCCCCCACCGCATTCAATCTCACATCACCTCCCTTACCCAAGCTTTCTGCTCCACGACTAGCACTCACCGGAGAGTCCAAGAGCAGAGGTGGAGCTCGTATCTGTAAAACGTAATCCCCCCGCTTGGCTCTCACGCCGCAGTTCTAACTAACCAGCTGCCATGTTGAAAACATGTCGCGAGGATTTTCCCATCGCGAAGGAAAAAATCCTGTGCAAAAATCCGAGGTGAGGAATTCCAAGGCGAGGAATTCCTCGCCTCGTTGCGCATGTCTGCAAACAAGTGTTAACAAACAAGTGTAACAAAAAAAGTGTTATCAAACCAGTGTTACCTCCCTGCTGATCGCCGTTGCCAGCAGCTCTGCAATGTCGGTGCCAGCCTCCGCGGCCCCAAAGAAGAGACAAGCCGAGCAGAATTCTTCAAACCCCTGTTGCCTCTCTGTTAATAGCCAGCAACAGTCACTGTCTGCCCTAGTTGTTACCTCTCTGTTAAAAGCCAGCAACAGTCACTGTCTGCCCTAGTTGTTACCTCTCTGTTAATAGCCAGCAACAGTCACTGTCTGCCCTAGTTGTTACCTCTCTGTTAATAGCCAGCAACAGTCACTGTCTGCCCTAGTTGTTACCTCTCTGTTAATAGCCAGCAACAGTCACTGTCTGCCCTAGTTGTTACCTCTCTGTTAATAGCCAGCAACAGTCACTGTCTGCCCTAGTTGTTACCTCTCTGTTAATAGCCAGCAACAGTCACTGTCTGCCCTAGTTGTCACCTCTCTGCTGATTGCGGTCGCCAGCAGCTCAGCAATGCCGGTTCCAGCCTCCCCGGCCCCGAAGAAGAGGATGGTCTGGCTGGAGAGGGACGAGCCGAGCAGCGGCAGGGACGCCACCAGGCCTGCTAACGCCACTGATGCCGTACCCTGCGAATGAGGGGGGTGGGCGGAAGGCCAGGGGGGTGTTGGGGGAAAAGGTGGGGGTTGAGGTGAGGATGGTCTGGCTGGAGGGAGGGGAACCGAGCAGCGGCAGGGACGCCAGCAGGCCTGCCAACGCCACTGATGCCGTGCCCTGGGGATAGGGGGTTGGGGAAGTAGGGGAGGGGGACGTGGGGGGTAAAGGTGGGGGCTGATGTGAGGATGGTCTGGCTGGAGAGGGACGAGCAGAGCACCGGGAGAGACGCCAGCAGGCCTGCTAACGCCACTGATGCCGTGCCCTGCGAATGAGGGGGGTGGGCGGAAGGCCAGGGGGGTGGAGAAAAAGAGTGCCAGGAAAGGAAGCTTTTGAGTCGACTCAAAAGTCACCTTGGAAAGGAATGAAGGGAGAGGATGGTCTGGCTGGAGAGGGACGAGCCGAGGAGTAGGAGAGATGCCAGCAGACCCGCCAGGCCCACTGCTGCCGTGACCTGCGAATGAGGGGGTGGGCGGAAGGGCAGGGGGGTGTGGGGGGGGAGGTGTGGGGGGGGGAGGTGGGGGGAGGATGGTCTGGCAGGAGAGGGACGAGCCGAGCAGCAGCAGGGACGCCAGCAGACCCGCCAGGGCCACTGCTGCTGTGCCCTGGGGGAGAGGTTGCGTGTGTGTGTATGTGGGGGGTGTGGGGAGGAGGGGTGGAGGGGGGGAGGGAGGGGAGGAGAGAAGGGGTGGAAGAGGTCGGGGTGAGTGGGAAAGGGGGAAAGGGAATGCGGGAAGAGGATGGTCTGGCTGGAGAGAGACGAACCCTGTAAGTATGAGCCCACCTGAATGTTGTCGTTGAACACCAGGTGCGAGCCCCGGTGCTGGAAGAGCAGGCGGGGGAACTTGTTTTGCGGTTGGCAAAGTCCTCCAAGGGAGCGACGGAAAGAGCAGCCAACCAGATGTTGCCAGAGAGCAGAAAGTAAGAGGCAAGCCGACCTGAATGTCGTCGTTGAAGACCAGGTGCGAGCCCCGGTATTGAAACAGTAGGCGGAAGGCGTTGTGGTTGGCAAAGTCCTCAAACTGAATCAACACGTCCGACCCAAACCGCTGCTTGCACGCCTCCATGAACTCGTCGATCAGCTCGTCGTACTCCTGGCGTGGGGTGATAAGGGGGAAGTGGAAGCGGTGGGGTGGGGTGGGGTGGGGTGGGCAGAGGGGAGGGGTGGGTTCTGAAATAGCTCGAAGCATGGATGACCCTATTCTGCCTCCCCTAAACTGCTGCTTGCAGGTTTGCAAAAAGTCGGCCATAAGCTCGTCGTACTCCTGATGGTGTGTGGAAGGAAAGGAGGGGAGATTATGAGGGGAGGAAGAAGGGGAGCGGGAGGAACAAGAAACTGCTGCTTGCAGACTTCTGTGAAATCATCTATCAGCTCGTTGTTGTCCTGGCGTGGGAGAACGGATAGGGGCTGAGGGTGAATTGTGCCTGTTGGCATGATGGCATGATGGGATGATGGCATGTTAGCATGATGGCATGATGGCATGATATCATAATGGCATGATGGCATGATATCATAATGGCATGACATCATGATGGTGGAACAGCTAAGATGCTTTTCTTTTAAGTCAAGCACGAGGAACCAGCTTGGAGCGCTAAACTGACCTCTGCACATGTGAGCATGCCTCTCCCATTACACATTAAGGCGTCTCTCAAAATACAGACGCCTGCAAGCAGCGGTCCTTGTTCCTCCTGCCCTTGAGACTGATCTCTGCAAACGTGAGCGTGCCTCTCCCGGTGTGTTTTGATTCGACTCAAAACACCTTTAACTCGACTCAAATCAAGCACAGAAGCCTGCAAGCAGCGGTTCTTGCTCCTCCTGCCCTTGAGACTGATCTCTGCAGACGTGAGCGTACCTCTCCCGTGGCACGTGGTTGTCTGAGCCCTGGGTAAAAGGGGTCTTTAAGGAGAGCCTGGTTGTTGGTGCCCACGTCGATGGTCACAGGCAGGCACTGGGTTGCACACAAAAGAGGAGATGAAGGGGGAGGGAGGCAGAATAGGTGTGCGAGCGAGGAGAGGAGAGGAGAAAGGGTCCTTGAGAAGATTTCTGAGGCGCCTCAAAGAGGAGAGGAGAAAGGGTCCTTGAGAAGAACATGGATGTTGGTGCCCACGTCGATGGTCACAGGCAGGCACTGGGACGAGAGGCACAGCGCACCGGGGAGAGAGGGAGAGTGGTGGGGGAAGGCACAGCACACAGGAGAGAGACGGGAGAGTGTTGGGGGGAGGCGAAGCACACAGGAGAGGAGTTTCTTTCACGAGACAGGCGAGGAATGGGAGGCAGCATGAGAGTGAGGGAATGCCCCCAAGCATGGGGACACTGTTGCCATTCGTGTCACAAACCAAGCCCTGAACCATGAAACCGGAACTCTCTCCCCACTCCACGCTCTCCCCGCTCTATCCTCCCCACTCGCTCCCCACCCACTAGCTCTCCCCACTCGCTCCCCACTCACTCCCCACGCGCTCCCTGCACTTTCTCCGCACGCGCTCGTCTCCTGCATACCTCTGCTGGGTGAATGCCTCCACATGCCGTGTACAGTGTCAGCTTGCCCACTGCTATAGCCATGCCCTGAGCCACCAGATGGAGGAGAGTGAGGGAGGGGGTGGGTGCGGGGTTGGTGGGGGGCATGAAGGGAAGGGAGGGGGTGGGTGCGAAGGGAGGGGGGAGTCGGGAGGAGGAATAAGCACCTGAAATAGAGCAAGAGGGGTCTGGAGGGAGAAAATTACCGGCGAGGGGAAAAAGCGCCTTTAGGAAAAGATTGACCAAGAGATACAGGGAAGGGCCCCAAAGAGATAAAAGCAGCTGCACGCCCAGTCAGCTCAGGGCTCCCAGGTCCCACCTGCACTCCCAGGTATCACCTGCACTCCCAGGTATCACCTGCACGCCCAAGTCTCACCTGCACGCCCAGGTCGCCGAGCCCCAGGACCCTCTCCCCGTCCGTCACCACGATGGCGCGCACTCGTCTCTCCGGCCAGTTCTTCAGCAGCTCCATCACCCGCCCGCGATCCCTCTGCGACACGAACAGGCCTCTGGGCCGGCGGAAGAGAAGGCCAAAGCGCTCGCATGCCAGGCCCACTGTAGGAGTGTAGCTGGGGGGGGGTTGGGGTGGCAGGAGGAAGCAGGGAGTGTCGCTCAGGGCAGTTCTTGTTGTATGTGGTCCACCAGCACACGGTGGAAGAACGACGAGGCTTCATTAGGCTCCTGCAGCACCAGGAGGAGTGCCCTCCAGGAGTGCCCTCCAGGAGTGCCCTCCAGGAGTGCCCTCTAACAGGACTGGAATCACCTCAATTCATTCACATTCACTCACACGATGGGCATGAGCTGCTCTACGTGGTCCACCAGCACGCGGTAGAAGAGCCGCTCATTGCGCTCTTGCAGCGCCATCAGGTGCACGTAGCGCTGCAGGTCCGACTGCGCCTCCTTCAGATTCGCCAGCACCCGATCCACCTGCAGGGATGGCGGATCGAGGGCGGAAGCAAGGAGAGAACCGGCGCAATTGTGGCAAAGGGCTTACGGGGTGTATGGTGGGGCAAGTTGCGGTGGTCGGTGGAGAATCCGAAAGGATGATAGCTCAGAAGGATCCTTTGGTGTTGAGGGCAGTCCCACCTGTTGGTACTGCCTCATGTAGCCGGCTACCTGTCAGTCAGTCCTACCTCGTAAACCTGACTCATGTAGTCGGCTAGCCGGCAGGCTAACCTGGTGGTCCTGGCTCATGTAGCCGGCTGGAAGCAACCCGTGCAGGTACAGGCGGTTGCGCTCCTCCTCTGTGAACGCGAGGCCCTTGTTGTACTTGGGGTTGCGGAGAAGGTCCACTCCGCTGCAGGCGATAAAGGGCAGATAACGGATTAAGGAGACAGACATAGAACATTTGTTTAAAATTGATTTTTATTTTAAGCCTTCGAATCTCTCCCTGTATGACGTAAACACACGCCCCTTGAAGTGATCGGGATTCAGCAGAAGCTTCATTCTCCCTCTGCTGCGGGCGAAACGGCAGGGAACACGCTGAAACGACAGATGACATTTTGAAAGACAGACAGACAAATTCACCAGACCCAAGACATCCTTGAGAAGATAGACGGAAGTTTGAGAATACAACTGAAATTCTGGAAAAGGAAGATGGTACTCTAGAAAGGCAGGTGACTAGAGTGACAGATGACACTCTGGAAGATTGTTGACATGTTGAAAAGGCGGCCCCAGATGAAAAAACGCAGATGCCATTTTCAAGAGATAGGTAACAATTCGAGACGACATAGTACCTTCTGGCAGAACAAATTACGACGAATTTGGTGGTGGCCTTCTATCGTGGAGTCATTTCTTAAAATTATAAAGAATGACAGCACTGTAGCTAGATTACTACGGATTTGATGGCCTTCTATTCGCAACTACCGACCTGGCGACGCTGCGGACCCATGGGGTGGCATCCACGCTATGTTCATGGCCCCAATCTTCCCCTCCTAAGGTGTCTTAATACACTAAACTATGTTCTCTTAACAGCGATAATTCCTAGCGACGAACCTGGCGACGCTGCGGACCCATGGGGTGACATCCACGCTATGGTCATTGTCCGAATCCTCCTCTCCGCTGTTCCCCTGCTTCCCCAGATGCTGCCATCCGCCTGGCGGAACGGCGGAAGATTGCACCGCGGAACCTCCGCACACGCCTGTAACCCCGCTGTGAAAACTCTCCGCAGCAGGAAAACCTTGCGACAATCCTTCCGCCAAGTAGCCCGCGGCAATAGCGGCGGGAGCAAGCTGTCGGAATAGCTGAAGCGGGAGCGCGGAGGCTAGAGTGCTTCCGACCCTCCGGTGGCTGCTGCTTCGGCGCAGCCACCCAGCAAAAGCCATGCGCAGACGGACGAGCTCGAATGCCGAATGAGCTTAGCCAGTACCAGCCACGGAGTCGCGGGAAAAATAGGAACCGCTAAGCAAGGCAAATGCCTGAAATGGAAGGTGCTACTGCAAAAATGAGACGCGCCAAAGAAATGCATTACTTGAGGAAGAGGCTCCAGCTTTTCTCATGGCCCAAAATTGTTGGCTCGCCATGGGATTCAAGAATTTGTGGCCTAGGAATTGGTTCTGTGGACAGGGATGCGTCATTGCTGCTGGGGCAGACACCCTTGGGATTCTCACGGTTTGCGAAGAATGAGCAACGTGTTACTGTTCGCACGCTGTGCGAGTTCGCGAACATCGCTGAGGTTGACACTGAGAGGTGTTTCTAGTGGCGAATGGTGATGCAGACTAAAATCCAGCGGGGCGAGCTTGGGCCAGGCCTCTTGCTAAAAGAGTATTTACCCTTAATATAAAGAAATTAAGAATAACGTTTCAAGTGATTCCCTTTTTTACAGTGCGATTTTTTCCCGAATCGCGCGATTCCTTAGCCTAACAAGTTACTTTTTTCGAATCCGTACGGGCTATACTTGTAGCAGGGCAATTTGTAGGGGTGCTATACTTAACCCCGCCACCCCACCACCCCCCCCCCCCTCCCCCCCTCCCCATTCTTATCACTTGCTAGCTGAATTTGTAGCGGCGGATTCCTTTCGGTAACGAGTTTTTTTGGGGCAATTCCGTTTGTTAACGGGTAATCCTGAGGCGATTCCGTCCTCTTCTGGAATACCATGGGGCTTAGCGAGAGGCCTGGCTTGGGCCACAGAGGGAGGCACATCTTATTGGCTGGCTCCGAATTTATTGGAGGGGTGGGGTTGGCTGAGGCAGGCTGACGCGGAAATGATATCCTCTCAGCTCTTTTGTGGCGAGAAATGCGTCTGGCGCGGGTACCCAATATAACAAAAGTGTCGACAATATATATTCAAATACATGTACAAATTAAACACACAAGGCCTGTACACACAGGAAACACGTATTGACTGAACAAAAGGCCCACAAGCACAAAAAAATACCACCATCTAGCTAACCTGAATCCCCTGGTGCTTGAGAACCTCGCCAACCAAATCGCCCCTGCCAGAACCCACATATCGGCCGAGCAACTCGCCCCTCCTGTAGAACAAGAACGTAGGCGCCTCAATCACATTCAGCTCCCTCATAAGCGTGATCGTCGATTCGTTATTGTCACCAAACACGCGCGCGAACACCGCCGTATCCGGCATGCGCTGCGCCAGCTTCACCACCGTCGGATGAATCCGCACACACGGGCCGCAGAAAGTAAGCGTCGCTTTCAGCACCACGAGCCTATCGTCGTTCTCGTGCCTCTGAAGCAGAGCGTAAAAGTCCTCGCGGCCGTTCAGCTCCAGCACCTTCCCAGCCTGCTCCGTATCGCTGCTCCCGCTGTACACGCTCCCGCCAGCGGACCGATCTGCGGCGTTCATCCCGAGATCGACGATCCCGCTGCTGCTGTAATAGTGCAGCTGGAGCAGCAGGCGATCCACGTCCATGCCCGCCTCCTCGTGCACCATATGCCCGTCCCTGAAGATCGAGTACGACGGAATCTGCTTGACGCCCAGCGACTTCGCCAGGTCGCGCAGGGCGTCGCTGCGATCGGCCAGCAGTCGCAGGAACAGCGTGCGACCGGGTGCGACGCGCGCGACCTGCAGCAGCTTGGGATAGTTCTTGGCGGTGTTGGGGAGCGCAGCCATGGTGGTTTCCACCACGACCAGCTGGCCTCGCGCGGAAGCGGCGGCCAGGAGCGAGTCAAATTCCTCCCACGTGCTCACCGCGATCACGCGGCTTGCGGCGTCCGCCTCTATCGGGCAAAGCGGCGTCGTGGAGGGTTCTGATTCCGCGCTGCCGATGCGCGAGTCCGCGGCGTAGAGCGCGCCGGAAGACGCCGCGGCGGCGGGAGCGGGGCGGCGAGGGGGGGAAACGGAGCGGCGTTTGTGGGAGTCGTTGAACTGAGAGGTGACTGTAAGCGAAGGGCGAGCAGCGGCGCCGCGTGAGACGGCGACAGTGGAGGGGCCGGCGCGAGATTTGAGTATCTGGGACGGTACGAGGAAGGAAGACTGGAACGCGCAGTCGGCGACGGAGAAGAGGCGAAGGGCGTCCATGACTGATCGGCGGAAAAACGTTACTTGGAGGGAATGCACGAGAGAATGCGAAACCTCGCAAGTTGTTCGGAACTCAGAATATCTGCAGGAACGATTGAGTGAGCTAGCGAGCGAGATTTATCCCGCGGGCAAACACCAGAGCGTTGTCGAACACCGAGCACCGAGGAGAAAGATTTGGGAGATTGGGTGGCTGATGAGCGAATTTCGAGAACTGATACCTGAATGTGAAAGGTAGGCGCGCTAAATACTCGTGGAGAAACGCGACGGTGAGCATTGAGCAGCGTTCTGGGGACAGCTGCTGGCCTACGTTCCCGATTCGGCTCCGTCACTGACCAGGTGCAGCAGTGCTCACTTGCCTACTGTTTTTGCAAGTGAGCGCTACGCGCCGGATTTTCCTCGCCTTTCTTGGCCGTGACCATGAATCCCTGCATTACGAGCAAGGACAGCACATAGACCTTTGCTGCCAATCAGCAGACAGTCAAGGGAGGAGGAGAGGAGGGGATTGCTTGCAATGAACCTGCCTTGTGATGTCGAAATTTCATGGCTCAGCCAATTCGTGAATCTCCGTTTGCACCTCCGCCCGCGCTGCTGCATGTCGAAGTGTTTTGCTTTACAGGACAATACAGTACGGTGTAGTGCGATGAGATTGAAATGTGGAAACAATCATGCATCTAAACTATTTTTACGATTTGAAATGCACCCCGTCTGCTGGGAACACGCATCTGGCTGTGCTGGAAAGCCGGAATGCCACGCGTTCAGGAGATTCACGGTCGTTCAAACAAATCAAAAGCGCACAATTGTCGACCGCAGAGTGGGTAAATGTGCTGGTTTGGGAAAAACCCGTTGGCCTATCAAATTTGGCCGGACTGAATGGACATTTGAGTTGCCAATACAGTCACAGATCGTACTAGACACTACTATATCCCACGGAACCATCATCGAGTCATAACGAACCGAGCCGAAATCTAGACGCCTACTGAGGGTACCAAATATGGGTGGTGAATCCTAGGGTTGCACAACCCAGAGTTGCGCAACTGGTTGCGGTGTTGGCGAAGGCTTTGCCCGAAGAAATGTTTGCGAAGAAACGTCGAGATATTTGCGCATTGAGTAACCAGACCGGACTGCGCAATTCAGTGGGGTTGCGCAACCCTAGGCTCCCCGCCTTCAGTGTTCGGGCTGCGGGCTCCATGCATTTGGTGAAAACTATTACTGTATGTGAGAATTTGAATGCCAACCTTGTGCCTATGACGAGGATGTCACTATGAGGCTGCGTTTCCACCAGACACAGCACTGCTGGGAGAAATTCGCACATTTATTTTGGCACACCAGCCACCCAATCAGCCGCTGCATCTTACGCCTCACTAGTCTTCATCAACGTGCGTTTCCGCTTGATATTTCAACGACCCACGCGACGCGACGCCGTTTACCCGGTGAACTGCAGGCCTGCCATGTCGAACTCGGGCCGCGCGTCATCTGACGCATCATCCTCCCACAACTCCACATCCCCAGAAAGCCTTCGCCCCCCAGAATTTTCGAGGACGGGCAGCCCTCAGAATTCAAATAAGAAATTGAGTCATGATTCCACCGCTTCTACTCCCTCTTCGTCGTCTTCTTCTTCCGGAAATCCCCCGCCGCGCGCCAAGCCTCGGCCTTCCGCTTCCTCGTCATTCCCTCCCCCGTCGCCTGCTGACGTGGCGTCGTTGCGGGAGCAGTGGAAGTACGCGCTGCGGATGTACAGTGTACAGTACGCGAACGCCTGGGGAGGCGTGATTGCAGCGGGGGTGTGCCTATACGGGCTGGGGTGGTATATCAAAGGGGAGGATCCCTTGCTCGACTTCAGGAGGCAGGAGCGGCGAGAAAAAGGGAGGAGAGGGGAGGAGAGTGGGGGAGGAGTAGATTCTGCGCCAACGGGTGGAGGAGGATAGGACAGGGATAAGGGACACGTGTACCATGTCAAACGGGTTGAGGGCGAAGAGTTCATTTTCCAGGCGGCTACAAAGACGATGAGGGTGAAGGGGATGAGAGGGATGATGAGGGTGAAGGGGATGAGAGTTGGGTTTTGTCAGTCACGGGCTCACGGCAGGCAGCAAGGACTGGACTGGAGCTTCAACAACATGTTTCATACCAGTATCATGCCAAGCTTTTTGAGAAGCCTGAAAAAACGTCTTTTGAGGCGCCTCAAAAATCACGGCGTGCAGCAAGGACTGGACTGGAACTTCAACATGTTTCATATCACGCCTTGCCTTAGAATGGACAGAAACCATGGTACCAGTAACTAGTGATAGGGTAGGGTTCACCCAATGTGGCCTGGTCATCAATCCCCTTTTTGCCTGGACTGAAATCAAAGTGACACCTGCAAGTAGAGTACTGAGGGAATCGCCTATATGTTTGCTCCAAGGTCCTTCAAAAGCTGGGTTTTGTTGTTTAAGATACAAGAATTGAAGTTATATGCTGTTAGATTTTAAGGATGTTACATTCCTCCTTATAAGAAGTCCCTAGGCTCTAGAACCTACAATAATTATCTCAATTATTGTAGGATGGGAATTATTGGAGTGCAAGGGCTCTTGTAGGAGTCAAACTTCCCTTAACGCCATTACTGCCACTCAATAATTGAGTTGGCATTATTGGACTTGCGATATTGGAGTGTTTGACTCCATGGTGGTCCCTTTTTGGGGTCTTGGAGAGAAGCTCATGCATAAATCACCTAGCTTGTGAAGCCCATTGCACTTCTTGAATGACAAGCTTTCGTTCCACAACGTTTGATCGTTTCCGCTACGCCAGCACCGTGCTATTCTGACAGTTGTAGCACGGCTAGTTTGCCTGTTCAGATGCAAGGGACGGTACAGAACACGTGCCAGACACGTGTGTATCAAACACCTTGTGTGTTTTCTCTCTCATGCCAGGCACATGCTGTGCGGAATCCTTGCTCACGGAGTGGGGTTCAATGCAGTTTCGCCCGGCGCGGTGTGACACGAGGAGTAGGTCTGCCGGGAGGCCGGGGTAGGTCTGCGGACCGCAGTTTCACCCTATCAGGCAGCCACTGCATGTGGTGCACTGTGAGTCAACCATGCGCTTCAAAAGACAGCTTCTGAGTCTGACTCTAAAGCACACTGCATGAGTGAAGTGTACGAGTCAAGTCAACCATGCACTTTCAAAAGACAGCGCTCCCCCATGTTTTTGCAGGGTCCGGATCCTCCAGCTTGAGGTAGTCCCTTCGACTCCCCTGCAGCACCAAGAGAGTGGGTAGGATGCGATGGGGCCAAAGATGAGAAAGCATCAATTGGTGTGCACACTACAAGACAGCACTCCCCCATGTCTTTGCCGGGTCTGGATCCTCCAGCTTGAGGTAGTCCCTTCGACTCCCCTGCAGCACCAAGAGAGTGGACAGGGTGTTTTTGAGAATTCTCAAAGACAGATAGCATCAGTTACAATGAAGAGAGATGAGGGAAAACGGGTGTGAATGATATGAGCGCTCAGATCGGGATATGAGCTCTCAGATCTCCTTTCAGTACGTACCTACCCCCTATGTACCTACCCCCTACATACCTACCACTAGGTACCTACCCCCAATCTCTCCTGGAAATTCACCGCCAAGAACTGCAAGTTTTTCCTGGGCACCTGCCCCATTCAGGCATGGAGTTGCTCGTAGAGCTTGCTGCTGGGGCACCTGTTTGTGTGTGGTCAGTGGTCAGTGGTCAGTGATCACCTAACTTGCCTTGCACTTGTCTACTTTACCTCACCTACCTGTCCAGCTACCAACCCCATCTCACCTGGAAATTCACTGCCAAGAACTGCACATTCTTTCTCGGCACTTGCCCCATCCACGCATGAAAATGCTCGTAGAGCTTGCTGTTGGGGCACTTGTGTGTAATGAGTTGACTCAAAAATAGACTCATTGCTCGTAGAGCTTGCTGTTGGGGCACTTGTCTGCCTGCCTGCACCTGCCTGCACCTGCCTGCCTGCCTAGCTAGCTACCCATTGCATCGCACCTGGAAATTCACAGCCAAGAATTGGACGTTTTTCCTGAGCACCTGCCCCGTCCAGGCATGGAAGTGCTCAAATATGAGGAGTCTATTTTTGAGGCGCCTCAAAAATAGACTCCTCACCTGCCCCATCCACACGTGAAAATGCTCATATAGCTTGCTGTTGGGGCACTTGTCGCCCCACGTGGGAGCGAAGCGGAAGAAGTGCGAGGGCGTGGCCACTGAGAAGTTGTTGTCCCACACGCACAGGCCCTCGTCCGACCACGTGGAGTTGCGGCTGCGGCACGAGCCTGTCTGTAACCTAACCTACCTCCGCAGATCCACCTGGCCAGTTCTACCCACCCCATCTCACCTGGAAGTTCACTGCCAAGAATTGCACATTCTTTCTCGGAACCTGCCCCATCCACGCGTGAAAATGCTCATATAGCTTGCTGTTGGGGCACTTGTCGCCCCGCGTGGGAGCAAAGCGGAAGAAGTGCGAGGGCGTGGCCACCGAGAAGTTGTTGTCCCACACGCACAGGCCCTCGTCCGACCACGTGGAGTTGTGGCAGGAGCGCGGCTGGCAGAGCGACTCGACGAGGAACTTGGGGCGGAAGCGCGTGCGGCGGAGACGGTAGGCGAGCTTGCCACTGGGAGGGGAGGGGGGGGAAAGGAACCGAAGAAGGGGAAGGAGTTGGATGGCTGGCAGAGGGTTTCGACGGGGAACTTGGGGCGGAAGCGCGTGCGGTGCAGATGGTAGGCCAGCTTGCCACTGGTCGGGGGATGGGAGTGAGGAGAAGAGTGGGGAATGGGGAGAGTGAGTAGGAGTGAGTGGGGAATGGGAAGGGATTTGACCAGGAAGTGGGGCGGATTCCCCCTTCCTCATCGTCCATGCAGGGCGGGTCGAGCTTGTCGTTGGTCCAGCACTCGCTCCACGTGTACCACCCCAGTGACGGGTGCAACACTCAATACACATACACCTGATCCCCCCCCCCCTCCTCCTCTCCCCCTCCCTCTTTACCTCACTCCCGTGACGGGTTCGGCCATGCAGGGCGGGTCGAGCTTGTCGTTGGTCCAGCACTCGCTCCACGTGTACCACCCCAGGATGGTCATCTCGCTGTACTCCTTCTTCCGCATCAGGTGCGCCGAACCTGGACGCCCCCCGAACAGCGCCATGGACCAGATCTGCTTGTAGAGCGCCAGGAAGTCCTTTAGCGCATCAATGTGCCACAGGGCTGAGAGGGGAAAGGAGGGGGAAGGAGGGGGAAGGAGGGGGAAGGAGGGGGAAGGAGGGGGAAGGAGGGGGAAGGAGGGGGAAGGAGGGGGAAGGAGGGGGAAGGAGGGGGAAGGAGGGGGAAGGAGGGGGAAGGAGGGGGAAGGAGGGGGAAGGAGGGGGGAGGAGGGTTGGGGAGGGGGGAGAGGGAGGAGTGTGGTTTGGGTATGCGGTCTGCCCCCCCCCCCCGAACAGTGGCATGGAGATCAGTCCCCTCTCACTGCACAGTGCGTGATGTTTTGGGTGAAGGGTCTGCAGCCGTACTGCTGCTGGCCCTCAGACAACGCCATTTGAAATAAGTCGAATTTTGAGGCCATTTTTGAGTCGAATTTTGAGTCGACTAAAAAATCAGCCGTAACGCTGCCGCCCTCAGATAGCCATGTGTAAAGTCGAATTTTGAGTCGATTAAAAAAGTCTGCTTATTGCGTATACAAAGGTTTGAGACGTCTCCAAACTCAAACGTACAAGCACCGTGCATCCATAATGCATAATGCATCCATAATGCATAATGCATTGTGGATACATACCTGCGTGGTTGGAGACTGCAGTTGAAGTATATTGCGAGGGTAGAGGGGGCGGCTGCATAGAGGGCCACCGTACTGGCAGCACGACCTTGGACGATGGGTACATCCATGCCACCATCTGGGGGAAACAGGAGACAGAAGGCAAACGAGAGAGGGTGGTGCAGTGCAGACACAGATTAAACGGAGAGACATGATGCTTGCTGGATGGAGGGCCATAGCACTGACTGACAGCACGACCTTCCAAAGCGCAGCATAACGTGACATGACATGGATGTATGTATGCGCCATCCGTGCGACAATGTGGACAGGCAAATGTATATATTTATATCCACGCAGCTAGAGCATTTGGAGGTTGCGCAACCTCGAGTTCACACAGATTTAGTTTTGGGGCGCCTCAAAATGAGATAACACAGAGTTAGTTTCCGGGCGCCTCAAAACGAGTTCACACAGAGCTTACCTGGGAGACATTGGCGTAGAGCATGACGTCGATGGAGAGCGAAAGCACTCTGGAAAAGTTGTGGCGCTGCATGAATGCTGCTAGGATCCATGGGCGCGCCACCTCTATACGGGTCACCCCCATCTTGCGCTGCAGGGGGGAGAGGGAGGGAGGGGTGGGGGGAAGAGCGAAGGAGAAAGGGAGGAGCAGACATGTGGTGCTGCATGAATGCTGCTAGGATCCATGGCTGCGCCACCTCTATGCGCATCACCCCCATCTTGCGCTAACAGGGGGAGAGTCAAGGAGAGCGGGGGGGGAGGAGGAAGGGGGGGGGGGGGGGGGGGGAGGGGTTGGGGAGGGGGAACGACAGGGGGAAAAGTTGTGGCGCTGCATAAAGGCTGCCAGGATCCACGGGCTGGCCACCTCTATGCGCATCACCCCCATCTTGCGGTGGTGAAGGAAGGAGGAACAATCGACTTAAGGCGGGGCTATGAGAGAAAATGCATGCATGCGGCAGTAGATGCTTAAGGCCTGGTGACGTGGCCAGGAGACAAGCAGGGAGAGGGGGATATTCTAGGAAGCAGTACAATCCATCAGATATTGTGTGCGGGTGGAGAGGGAGCGGGGAAACAGAGAGCGGGATGAGCGTGCGGAAACGACGAGGGGAGTCCTCCACAAGAAAACTCACAGCCAGCCATGCACAAGTGTCGTTGTACTCGTTGCGCCCCTCTATGGTCACCCCCAGCGCTGCCAGGTGCTTCAGATTGGGGTTCGGCCCCACCACGTACACCAGGTCGTTCAGGCTCCGAGCCTAAGATTAATTGCGGGGGGGGGGGGGGGGGGGTGGCATTAGGAAAGGAAAAGTGGTGTGAGCAAATAGGCTGCCAGGTGCTTCAGGTTGGGGTTCGGCCCCCCCCACGCACACCAAGTCGTTTAGGCTCCGAGCCTTCAAAGAAAGGAGGGTTGGGTAGGGGGGTGGGGGTGGGGGCGGGTAGGGACAGAAAGGAGGTGGACGGAATCAGGCGTCAGGTACTTCAGATTGGGTTTCGACCCCACCACGTACACCAGGTCGTTCAGGCGGCGAGCCTGGAAGGGGGTAATGGAAAGGAGAGAAAGGAGAGGAAAGGGGCATAGGGACGAGCATTGACTATTAGGCCCCACCACGTACACCAGGTGGTTCGGACTCCGATTTTGAGGCCTCAAAAATAGCCTCAAAAGTTTTGAGGGGCCTCGGAAAATACATTTGCTACTAGGCCCCACCATGTACACCAGGCAGTTCGGACTCCAAGCCTTCAACGAAGATGATGGTGCGGCTCTCTCAAGCTCACCTCTCTCGCCCCCACCTGTTCAATGTATTTTTAAGAATTCTGCAGGGCATTTTTGAAAATGCAGGGTACTTTTAGGATTAAAAAAAAAAAACCCTCAAAAATACCCCGAGAATTCTCTAAAACACCATGTACACCAGGTGGTTCGGACTCCAAGCCTTCAACGGAGATGATGACACGAATCTCTCAAGCTCATCTCTCTCGCCCCCACCTGTTCTATGACCACCAGAGCGGGGTGGTGTGTCTCGTTGGGCACGAACACGAAGACGAACACCATAGGGATGGCCTCCTGCACCTCCTTGCACCTCCTTGCACCTCCTTGCACCTCCTTGCACCTCCTTGCACCTCCTTGCACCTCCTAGCAAACACAATAGACCTGCTGAGTGCCCATCCCTCCACCTCTCTCCCTCACCTGTTCTATGACCACCAGGGCGGGGTGGTGCGGCTCGTTGGGCACGTGGCTGGTGACGAACACAATGGGGATGGCCTCCTGCACCTCCTCCGCCCGCCAGTCCTTGTGCACGTCCCCTGCTGACGACACCAGCTGCTGCTGCTGTTGCTGCTGCTGCATGGGCAGTTGCGAGTCTGCAGAGGGTAAGCAGATACGAAAGCCAAGAGGGGTTTTCTATTTGCACATGAATGCGTCTACTGCTGACATGACGACACCAGCTGCTCCTGCTGTTGCTGCTGCTGCATGGGTAGCTGCGAATCTGCACGGGTAAGGGGATACAGAAGAAAAGAGATCAATGCTTCCCCTGCTGACGACACCAGCTGCTGCTGCTGTTGCTGCTGCAGCATGGGCAGCTGGGAATCTGTGGAGTTAAAAGAGAAGAGGAAGGAAATTAGGAGTTATTTCAACTGTGGATGCGTGCATCTGCTGCTGACCACACCGAGTGCTGCTGCTGTTGCTCTTGCTGCATGGGTAGCTGGAGTCTGCAGGGGTGCAGAGAAAAGGGAGAGAAGAACAGACCGCTTTAACATGCTTTTGAGGCGCCTCAAAGCAAATCAAAGTGGAATGGCCTCATTCGTCTACTTGGAGGCAGGGCGGGTCACCCAAAAAAAAGAAGAACGCAAGCCTGCTGCGCTCTGTGAGTGTGACTCACAAGAATGAGGCACGGTACACGACCGGGGAATACAAGAATTGGATGTGGAATTGGATGTGAGTACCTGGAGCGGTGAGAATGAGGCACTTCTTATCAGGAGTACGTCGCTGCCAGAGGGAGGAGATCCCACTGGCTGCAGACAACACCTCTCCCTCGACCGCCCCCTGCACTCCCTCCCTCCCTACCTACCTACCTACCTACCTACCTACCTACCTACCTACCTACCTACCTACCTACCTACCTACCTACCTACCTACCTACCTACCTACCTACCTACCTACCTACCTACCTACCTGTACGAGCAGTACGGTTGAGAATACGTAGACCAGAGGCGGTAAGAGTACCTGGAGCGGCGAGAATGAGGCACTTCTTATCAGGAGTGCGTCGCTGCCAGAGGGGAGTTATTTCCGCACCAGTCCAGTGGCTGCAGACAACACCACTCCCTCTACTGCCCCCTGCGCTCCCTCCCTCCCTACCTAGCTACCTACCTACCTACCTACCTACCTACTCTACCTACCTGTACCAGCAGTAAGGTTGAGAATACATAGACCAGAGGCGGTAAGAGTACCTGGAGCGGCGAGAATGAGGCACTTCTTCTCAGGAGTGCGTAGCTGCCAGAGGGAGGAGATCCCAGTGGCGGCAGACAACATCACTCCCTCTACTGCCCTCTGCACTCCCTCCCTCCCTACCTAGCTACCTACCTACCTACCTACTCTACCTACCTGTACCAGCAGTAAGGTTGAGAATACATAGACCAGAGGCGGTAAGAGTACCTGGAGCGGCGAGAATGAGGCATTTCTTCTCAGGAGTGCGTCGCTGCCAGAGGGAGGAGATCCCAGTGGCTGCAGACAACATCACTCCCTCTACTGCCCTCTGCACTCCCTCCCTCCCTACCTAGCTACCTACCTACCTACCTACTCTACCTACCTGTACCAGCAGTAAGGTTGAGAATACATAGACCAGAGGCGGTAAGAGTACCTGGAGCGGCGAGAATGAGGCATTTCTTCTCAGGAGTGCGTCGCTGCCAGAGGGAGGAGATCCCAGTGGCTGCAGACAGCATGGCCCCCTCGACCGCCCCCTGCACGGTCCTTGGCTTGGGCGGCAAGGGCTCGTGAAATGTCCGGCGAATCTCGTCTCGTTTGGATTCGCGGAAAAACAGCGGCCGCCCTGCACACCACCACCCATGCGTCCTCCCCCCCAAATCCCCACCAAACCACCCCATCCTTCCCCACACCTTCCCACCCCTACCCCCCCAACTTCTCCCCCTTTCCCCCCCCCTCTCCCCTCATGCACTCCAGGCCACATGCATGCATGCATGCACCACATAGGCATACCAGACCAGGCAATCGGTGCGTCAGAAACATTTTTTAATACCGATGCTGGTGGCTACAAGAAATGAAGAGCGGGTTTGGAAAGCGGAGAGGCGAGAAAGAAATCAACGCACTTGAGGACATTGTGTGCGTGCCTACCTGCCTGCACGTGGCACTTTGCTCCCAATGTTCTAATCTAAGGTACTTCAAGTGTGCCACGGTGCCACCACAAGCTGCTCATTCTTGCGGACTCATATCTCCTCGGACCTCGGTGCATTAATGTTGGGAGGACGCTTTTGAGTCGACTCAAAAGCAGTCGGTGCATTAGAGTTGGGAGGACGCTTTTGAGTCGACTCAAAAGCAGTCGGTGCATTAGTGTTGGGAGGACGCTTTTGAGTCGAATCAAAAGCAGTCGGTGCATTAGTGTTGGGAGGAGAGGACGCTTTTGAGTCGACTCAAAAGCAGTCGGTGCATTAGTGTTGGGAGGACGCTTTTGAGTCGACTCAAAAGCAGTCGGTGCATTAGTGTTGGGAGGACGCTTTTGAGTCGACTCAAAAGCAGTCGGTGCATTAGTGTTGGGAGGACGCTTTTGAGTCGAATCAAAAGCAGTCGGTGCATTAGTGTTGGGAGGAGAGGACGCTTTTGAGTCGACTCAAAAGCAGTCGGTGCATTAGTGTTGGGAGGACGCTTTTGAGTCGACTCAAAAGCAGTCGGTGCATTAGTGTTGGGAGGACGCTTTTGAGTCGACTCAAAAGCAGTCGGTGCATTAGTGTTTGTTGGGAGGACGCTTTTGAGACGATGGCAAAAGCAGTCGGTGCATTAGTGTTTGTTGGGAGGACATGAAGAAGAGACGATGGCTCCCTTTAGCCACTGTAGCCGCTTTTATTAACGCAAAAAGGCTGAAATCCCACAAGTCATGTCATACCATCTTATACATTAACCACACCAACACCACACCACACCACACCACACTGTATAAACCATGCCATATACTCACGCCATACCCCCCCCCCCCCTTCTCCCCTTGCCCTATCACCCAACCCTGAACCCCCTCCTCAACCCCCTCGCCTCTTCTATCTGCATGTACACCCAAGCCAATTGCAGCCAGGAATTTTTCTCGAGGGACGAAAAAAGAGCTGACACCGGCCGTGAAGGCACTCACAAACAGAAGGAAAGATCTGGATCCTGCTGATGCGTCCACGACGACCTCACCTTTGCCTGATGACTGATGGGTCATACATACAGCCCCAGCCGGATGTGCTCCAGCCGGGTTTGCTCACGTTTGCCTGATGACTGATGGCTGATGGAAAGATCTGGATCTGGATCAGCATACAGCCCCTGCCGGATGTGCTTGCTGTACTCGACTCCTCCTCCACTCCATGTGCCATCCACATGCTCAAATGCTCCATGCATGTAATCGACGACTCCTCCACGGCTCGGGAGCTTGTTTTCTCCCTTACAATCATCATCGCTTCTAATTTATGTGTTGCTCACCTAGTTGTCCTGTGCCGAGAGGTTGATGAGCACTTAAGCTCGTTTGTTGTTCTCTTGAAAATGTGTTGACTCTGAAAGGGGTTGAGCTCTTACCGAGTTGGCCTGTGCCGAGGAGGTTGATGAGCACTTGAGCTCGTTTCGGCACGTTGTTGGTCTGCGAATTCGCTATTCTCCGAGCCACCTCTTCAAACGAAACGCTGCCGTACATCGCCACAACCACCACCACTAACGCATATATCAGCCGCGTGAACAGAACCCGCAGGCTGAGAGGTTCTCTGCGGAACACAGAATACAGAAGAATGATAAAGAAGGGTTTGGAGCTTAGGGTTTGGCCGCAACAAGGCGACCAGAAGAGCGACAGCGGAAGGTTCGGAGCTGCCACGTGGATGGATAAGTAACAGGGAAACAAAAGGCGAGGTTTCATGCAGACACGTTACTGGTAATCCGCGAAGGAAAGAGAGACGGCTGCGAAAATCTAAAGCGCCAAGAGACCTCCTACATGCGTGCTTGCGTAGCAAAGAAAGGAAGCTAGTATTCACCATGCGTGCTTGCCTGTGATGGGTGTTATGCTACGCTACCAATCTGCTAGTATTTACCTTTGGTGGTGTTTGCTGCTAGAAGCTGCTGATGACGCCTTGAGCGACCCCGACCGTCCTAATCTTAGAAATCTTAAGAATCCCCCCGAAGCCGTATGGCCAACCATGGCTCCCCGCTACAGCTGCACTAGACACGAGGGGATCCCTTCGACGGAGGGGTCTAAAGTTAAGTCGGGAATTTCGCCACTGCTAATGTGCAGGTGTCGGTCGATGCTCTAATTGTCTACAGTAGCACATTATAGCCATCCTCAGGCTAGTCCATGCCGGGGAGTCTGAGGGTCACCTCAATAATAGGTCACATTGGGACCTCGGCTAGTCAGTGGCGAGCTTGGAGAATCTATTTCGGCACGGACTGACACTCATACCTATCGCCCAATCAATCGCAAAACCATCGCGAGTCAATCGAGAGCACGCATTGAGACGAAGTGAAGTTAGCGATCAGATTAATATCAGCGAGGATCAGTCAGTCACGCAAACAGCTGATAACGCGTATGGTGGTCCGGAACCTGGTAACAGGTCTTGGATTTGTACACCACGAGTCTACAATCTAGGTGCTAAGAGCTGCTTACTTGCTGCCACATGCCACAAAGATTCGCCAATCGCGCATCCCAATGACGCAGACCATTGACTAAATGAACCGCGTAGCAAACCCACTCCTAGCCCGTCGCAAGCCTACAATGGCGAAATTAGCACTGTCGAATCAAGCAGCGCGCGCTAACAAAAGAGCTTCTGAAACTGGCAATCAAGCAGGCAATGGACTAGGTTGGTGGAGTGGGTACATGTACAACTAAGGTGTAGCAAGCGCAACTATGGTTCTTTGGTGAAACAAATCGTCCTTACGTTCCCTGGCTTGCTGCTTTCTCCACCAGTGGAGTGGGGTAGAGTGGAGCCAGGATGGTCCACCACACCACAGCACCAGCAGCCCCAGCACTGGGGAACAGCAGCAGCCGCCCTGGGATCTGTTTCAGGTGAACCAGCAAGAAACGGCACCGCGTTTACTCTTCCCCAAAGGGAACATTTCCGGGTGCAGATTTCGAAATCAGTTCTCAAAGTGTCGCACATTGGGCCAGTCGAAATTATAATTTAGTGAAACGTTACGAAAAGTAACTCTCTTGCTAAATGGAAATGTAAACAGATTTTGTGGACGAAAACCTCAGGGGGAGGAGGAGCCCTCGGCCGAAACAATCGCACGGCTCTTCGTGGATCTTCGCCACTTGCGAACAAGTCAGCGAGCGGTTACCTTCCACCAAGACCGTGGCCGGTGGTGGAGAGGAAAGAGCACTTGAGGCTATTTCTCCTGCCCAATCCATACCAGCCCTGATCAGCTCGGCAATCCCAAGGCTTTTTAGGACTGATCCTGCGGCTTTATAGGACGCAACCAGCGCAGCCTTTTCATTATGAACGCCCGTGCGCGCTTTTGCTACAGAACCCGCATTTCTCCTGTCGGCGACTTTTTTTAGGCGCCTCGAAGATACATTCTGCTGCTGCGGAGGAACCCACATTTCTCCGGTCGGCGCGATCCCCGTCTTGCGCAGACCCTCAATTTCCTCGTTCTGCCGTGTAATTGTGCGTCAAGCGTTGTCGTGTCGGACGTTTATCGGAGAGCCCATAGCGAGTACGGGAGCGATGGCTCCCGTTCGCAAGAAGGCGGAACCTTCCAGGAAGGAGGAGAGCGAGATCGAGAGTGCCAGCGCGAGCGGGAGCGAGAGCGACAACGGGAGCGGTAGCGGTAGTGAGAGCGGAAGTGAAAGGAGCGAGCGATCGGACAGCGGTTCTGAGCAGGGGAGTGGTGCGGAGGAGTCGGGGGACGAAGGGAGTGGGACGGACGGAGAGGATGAGGAGGGGAGTGATGAGGAGAGTGAGCGAGACGCGAGATCAGAGAGTGACGTCAGCGAGGCGGACGGGGATGAGGAGGAGGAGAAGGAGGCGGGGAAGAACGGAGGGGAAGTATCAGGAGGGCATGAGAGGCGAGGGCTGCTGGGAGCAAAGAAGGGCAAAGGAGCGGAAAGGGCTAAGGGGCAGGAATTGGGGAAAGACGAGAAGGTGAACAGACGTCGGCTGACGTGGCTAGCGTGGATTGGCCTTTGGCTGGGCTATCTGATCGCAGCGTTCATTGCGTACCATGTAATGCAGGCCGCCACGTCACCAGTTCCCATTTCGTCCCACGCCTCGTCATCCTCCTGCTTCTCCTCCTCCTCCTCTTATAACGAAACAGCTGCAGAAGGGGAAGAAGAGGATCCAGCTGCGCATCCAGGAACAGTCCAATCAGGAAACGCCACGTGTCCTGCCCCGCCACTCCCTCCCTTCGCCTCTATCCTGTCCGCCCACCCAATCCTAGCAGCAGCAGCAGCTGCTGCTGCTGCAGCAGCTGATTTTGCCCTTCAACCCTGGACCCCTGCTGCCGCCACTTTAGCCGTTCTAGGGTTCGCCCTCCTGCTGCTTCGTCAAGTATCTACCGCGGCTAAGAGACGAGTAGCCTTAAGAGAGACACTTAAAGAGTTGGAGGCAGAGGGAGCGAGCGCGGGGGCGGGAGGAGAGGAGGAAGAGGGAGACGGGAAGGAGAGTGAGGGGGAGGGCGAGGGAGGCTCGCAGGACGGTGGGGGGAGGTATGGAGAGAGGGAGGATTGGGAGGGGTTTGTAACTAGTGGGGGAGGGGGGAGTCAAGAGCCGGGTTTCAGTGAGATTCTGGCGGGGATAGGGGAGAGCACGGGGACTAACTCCCTGCTAGCGATCATAGTGAATGAGGTGCGAGTGCCTCTGAGGGGCGTGCTGGGCCTGCTACAGTTACTGTCCGCCTCGCCCTTAGATGCGATGCAGCAGGATATTCTGCACTCTGTTAGTGCCACTACCCGCCACCTCATCCACGTTGCCAATAACGTCGTTGACACCTGGCGCGCTGACGGCCGGGCGGCTGCAGCAGCAGCTGCTGCTGCTACAGCCGCTGTTACAACTAGCACAGCTGGTACAGGGACCGGGGCGCCTGCAGCTGCTGCCGCGGCTGCTACAGCAGATGGTACAGGAGGGGCGTCGGGCGCTGTAGCTACAGTGCCGGTGCCGCCCAGGCTGGAGTCGGCACTGTTTGAGTTTCGTCCGCTAGTGGATGAGGTGTTGGCGCTGACAGGAGGGGAGGCGTGTGAGAAGGGGGTCGAGATTGCTGCCCTTGTCATGGACTCGGTGCCTCTGGCTGTAGTAGGCGATCCCTTAAGACTCAGACAGGTACGTAGTTGGAACTTGGAGGAGCCTCATGGCAAGCGTACTACAAATTATGCTAGAGCGAGGTGTGTGAGAAGGGGGTGGAGATTGCTGCCCTTGTCATGGACTCGGTGCCTCTGGCTGTTGTGGGGGACCCCCTAAGACTCAGACAGGTACATGTGTTGTTTGGTTGGAGGAGCCTCATGGCATGGCATGGCATGCTTACTACAAAGTACACTAGACTGAGGCGTATGAGAAGAGGGTGGAGATCGCGGCTCTGGTGATGGACTCGGTTCCTCTGGCTGTTGTGGGGGACCCCCTAAGACTCAGACAGGTACATGTGTTGTTTGGTTGGAGGAGCCTCATGGCATGGCATGGCATGCTTACTACAAAGTACACTAGACTGAGGCGTATGAGAAGAGGGTGGAGATCGCGGCTCTGGTGATGGACTCGGTTCCTCTGGCTGTTGTGGGGGACCCCCTAAGACTCAGACAGGTACATGTGTTGTTTGGTTGGAGGAGCCTCATGGCATGGCATGGCATGCTTACTACAAAGTACACTAGACTGAGGCGTATGAGAAGAGGGTGGAGATCGCGGCTCTGGTGATGGACTCGGTTCCTCTGGCTGTTGTGGTTGTGGGCGACCCCCTCAGACTCAGACAGTACGTATGTGTGTCCAGGTGCCTGGGAGAGTGGGTGTGGACGATCCACTGCGTGCTCGTTGCCCCTCCAACCCACCCCCCCCCCCTCCCCTCCCCCTCCCCCCCCCCCTTGTCTCCCTCCCATACAAGTTTCTCTTGAACCTTTTCACCATAGCTGTGCGCCTCACTGACTGGGGACACATTTTCCTCTGCATGCGCGTTGCCCCGTCCCCTCCCCACCCCCACCCCAACCACCCTCTCTCCCACCCCCCCGTCCCCCTTCACATCCTCTTGAACCTCTTCACCATTGCTGTGCGCCTCACCGACCAGGGCCACATCTTCCCATGCGTGTGCGATGCCCCTCCCCACCCCCCGTCCCTCCCTTGTTCCCCTCCCCACGTACAGATTCTTTTGAACCTCTTCACCATTGCTGTGCGCCTCACGGACCGAGGCCACATCTTCCTCTGCGTGCGCGTCGCCTTCGAACCTTCCCAAAAACCACACGCAGCCGCAGCAGCAGCAGCAAAAACAGGAGCAGCGGGAGCAGGAGCAGGAGCAGGAGCAGGCGAGAAAGACAAAGGCAGGGATCATGGGGAGAGGCAGGAGGGGGATCGGGGGGAGGGGGATGGGGAGGAGGAGAAAGAGAGGGCAGCTCGGGGTAAGACATCTCTGATGAAGGGCGAGCACCTGACTTTGAGCGGGTTACCAGCAGTGGACGGCAGCAACAGCTGGCCGGCCGTCTGTGAAATGCTCAAAGAGCAGGACAGCCGAGTCAGAAAAACACCCTCCGGTGGTGCTGCTGCTGGTGCTGCTGCTGCTAGTGGTGCTGCTGGTGCTGCTGGCGCTGGTGGTGGTGGTTCCGCCACCGCTGCATCTGCTAGTGCTGCCGGTGCTGCTGGGGGAAGGGCAGTGGCGGAGAGGAGGCGGAGGGGCAAACGGCTGCTGTTCTCCCTGGAGGACACGGGGGCGGGACTACCTGATGAGGTGCTGGCTGCTAGGGAGCGGCCGTTTGAGGCGGTCCACATGAAGCTGCAGCAGAAGTACGCCGGGGTGCCGCTGCTGCTGTGCTTTGCGGAGAAGTAAGTGTGCAGATGTGTGAGTAAGCGAGCAATGGGATGGGACAGCGTGGGGAGGTGCTGGGGGCTAGGGAGAGGCCGTTTGAGCCAGTCCACATGGAAGTTACAGCAGAAGTACGCTGGCGTGTTGCTGCTACCGTGCTTTGCAGAGAGGTACTGTTAACGGTATGTGATGCACACGTCTCTTTTGCCTGGGTAATGTGTGTGGGTTGCAAAAGGTATTAAAAAACAAGTCTCGTTTGCCTTCTGTACCTCGCCTCCTCACTCCTCTCCCTCCCTCCCTCCCTCCCTCCCTCCCTCCCTTGGTCTCTTCCTCACCTCCTCACCCACCCACCACCCACTCACCCCTTAGGCTCGTGGATTCCATGTGCAAACAAATGTCGCTATCCATGCTCAACAATATACTAACTTCAGCATACTTGAACCAATTACGTTCCTTCCCCCCCCCCCCCACCTCCCACCCCGGCCCACTTCTATCCCCTCAGGCTCGTCGAGTCCATGTCAGGGCAAATGTCGCTATCCACGCGCACCAGTGTGGGCACTACCGTCACCTTCGACGTGCTGCTAGACCAGCCTCCCCCAGGCGCCATCCCCACCAGCAACGCCGGAGGGTTTGCAGGAGGGGGAGGGGGAGGGGGAGGGGTAGGCAGTGGGGGCAGTGGGGGTGGGGGAGCGGGAGGGGGGGCAGCGGGAGCAGTGGGAGCAGCAGGGGGAGTGGTGGCGCGGGTGTTCCACATAGGGTACGGGGCGATAGGGGACGACCAGCATGCGGAGTGCGCGGGGCTGAGGGCGAAGCTGAGGGGCATGCGGTGCCTGGTGGTGGACGGGCGGCCTGTGAGGCAGCAGGTGACTGCCACCTACCTGGCTCGCATGGGGCTCCGAGTGGACCTCTCAGACAGCGTCCCTGCTGCTGCCCTGGCTCTGCGGCACTCCAGGCAGCTACCAGGTGAGGCACTCTTCTTTTGCAGAAGCAGCAGAGAACCTGCCAGGTAAGGGGCACTCTCCTCTAGAGCAGGTGACTGCCACTTAGCTCTCTCGCCTGGGGCTCCGAGTGGACCTCTCTGCTGGGGCCCGCATGGACCACTCCGAGCTGCTGCTCTGGCGCGCAGGCACTCGAGGCAACTGCCGGGTGGGAGGGCACTCTCCTTGGGTAAAGGCAGCACATGCCAGGTGCGGACACTCTTTGGTAACAGAAGCAGCAGGGGACTGCCACCTACCTCGCTCGCATGGGGCTCAGAGTGATCCTTCCAGACAGCGTCCCTTCTGCTGGAGTCGTGGATGGATTACAGGTGGGTTGCGGAGGCCTTATTTCCATCAAGTCTGTAGGTTAGTACAACAAAACGAACCCCTTAGTCAGAGCGGACCTTTCAGACAGCGTCCCAGGTTGCTCTTGCTCTCGGGCACTGCAGCAACTCCAGGCAACTCCAGGCAGTTTTGAGGCGCCTCAAAAGTCAGTTACCAGGTAGGAGGGCACTCTCCCTTGGTACAGCCAGCAAATGCCAGGCAAAAGACACTCTTCTTTTGAAGTAGCAGCCGCAGGTCCGCACCTGCTCTGCTCCCCCCTTCCCCCTTGCCCTCCAACCCCCACCAACCAAACGCAGGCCAGGCAGGGCCTGGTGAACCGCAAGAGCCGCTGAAAAATGGTGGTGGTGGATGCAGACGCGGATGGGCCGCCTCCCCTCACCTGCCCACTGCCCCCCCTCTCCCCCATACGGTATACCCACCCCTACCTACCTACGCAGACCAAGGTCTTTTGAGGCGCCTCAAAAGTCGTCCCCCATACGGTATACCCACCCCTACCTACGATTTTTGAGGCGCCTCAAAAACCCTACCTACGCAGGCCAAGGTCTAGTGAATCCCAAGAGCCGGTGGGACATGGTGGTGGTGGATGCTGGGTCATTCCACCCACGTGCCTCATCTCCCCTCGTCCCTCCTGCCTTTTTCCCCCACCTCTCTCCCTCTCCCCCTCCCCCCCAATTCTAGGGCAAGGCCTGGTGAACCGCAAGAGCCGGTGGGACATGGTGGTGGTGAATGCTGATGCTGATGTGGGAGCTTATGGGGCCCCCTCCCTCCCTCTTCCTGCCCACTCTCTCCTTCTCCTCCCTCACCCACCCCTACACATACAGGCCAGGGGCTGGTGAACCGCAAGAGCCAGTGGGACATGGTGGTGGTGGATGCTGTTTGATGATGCCAATGCCTCATCTGTCCCTCCCTCTCTGTACTTTCCCCTCCCCATCCGTCCCTGCCCTCACCTCACTCCCCCATTCCAGGCCAGGGGCTGGTGAACCGCAAGAGCCGGTGGGACATGGTGGTAGTCGATGCTGACGCTGATGGGCCGGGCACGGGAATCGAGCTGGGGCGCATGGTGCAGCAGCTGAAGGACCTGCGGGAGGTGTGGGAGGCCACCCCGATCGTTCCTAAGCTGGTGCTGCTCACACAGGTGAGAGGGAGGTGTGTGTTTGAGGGCTTGACGGGGAACAGGGAGGCACGGGGATGGAGCTGCAGTCTATAGATGCACGGGCGTGGAGCTGGGGCGCATGGTGCATGGGTCAAGGAGCTGAGGGAGGCGTGGGAGGTGTGCGGGTCACTTATGATTGCTACCTTCCGGCCATGCCTCCAGTTGCTAGCGACCTCGTCTCATCTTGCTATGCCTCCTGTTGCTAGCGACCTCGTCTCATCTCAAATCCATCCTTCCATGCCATGCCTATCCCCCCCTGCTATGTCCCGTCTACTATCCTCTCCCAACCCTTTTCCACACTCCTCCCTCACCTTATTTTCCCATCCTGCTCACCACCACTCTGCATCGCCCTGCGCCGCTTTGCACCGCTCTGCACTGCACTGAACCAGACCACGAACGATGACATGGAGGCAGAAGCAGCACGGCATGGCTTCTCGTGCATCATGCTCAAGCCGCTCAGAGCCGCCACCATGGCGACCGCTCTTCTGCAGGTATGCTTGGGTATGGGGGGAGGAGGGGGGTGGGGCAGTCATGTGTCTGTAAGAGAAGTCAGTGAGGCACGGTGTCGCCTACTGCTCTGCTGCAGGTATGTGGGTGTGTGGGGAAGGAGGGGGTGGGGCATGCACAAGTCTGTATGGGGAGGCAGCAAGGCATGGCTTCCCGTGCATCATGCTCAAGCCGCTCCGAGCCGCCACCATGGCTATTTTTGAGGCGCCTCAAAAATCCGCTCCGAGCCGCCACCATGGGTACGGCTCTTCTGCAGGTTTGTGGGTGTGTGGGGAAGGAGGGGGTGAGGCATGCACAAGTCTGTATGGGGAGGCAGCAAGGCATGGCTTCCCGTGCATCATGCTCAAGCGGCTCCGAGCCGCCACCATGGGTACGGCTCTTCTGCAGGTTTGTGGGTGTGTGGGGAAGGAGGGGGTTGTGAGCTTCACACGGGCATGCACTTTTGAGGCGCCTCAGAAGGGTGTGCGCGGGATGAGTGATTTTTGAGGCGCCTCAAAAAAGGGTGTGTGCGCGGGATGAGTGGGTTGCGAGCTTCACCCGGTCATGCACATGTCTATATGGGGAGGCAGCACGGCATGGCTTCTCCCTCTTCACCCCAGGCTCTTGGGCTCAACCTTAGGGAAACAACAGCTTTAGCAATGCGGCGAAGGCAGCTGCTGCTGCGGCTGTGCCTCAAAGCCAAGAGGGTGTTGGTGGTGCTGCTTTTTCCATATCCCCCCCACCCTAACTCTACCCCAGGCTCTTGGGCTCAACCCCAGAAAAACAACAGCTCTTGCAACGAGTCGCAGGCAGCTGCTGTTGCGGCTGTGCCTGGAAGAAACAGGGTGTTGGTGGTTGACCACCACTCCATCACCCTTGGCTGCGGCACTGCCTTTGCCCCTCTTTATGTGCATCTGCTACTTCTTTCTCGAACACCAGACTCTTGGGCTCAACCCCAGAGAAACCACAGCTCTTGCAACGCGGCGGAGGCAGGTGCTGCTGCGACTGCGGCTATGCCTGAAAGCAAAGCGAGTGCTGGTGGTGCTGGTTTTTCCATAACCCCACCCACCCCCCCCCCCCCTCCTCTATCCCAGGCTCTTGGGCTCAACCCCAGAGAAACCACAGCTCTTGCAACGCGGCGCAGGCACCTGCTGCTGCAACTGTGCCTCAAAGCAAAGCGAGTGTTGGTGGTGCTGCTTTTTCCATTTCCCCCTCCTCCCCGCCCTCCCCCCCCCCTCTCCCTCTCTACCGCAGGCTCTTGGGCTCAACCCCAGGGAAACGACAGCTCTGGCTACAAGGCGCAGGCAGCTGTTGCTGCGGCTGTGCCTGAAAGCCAAGCGAGTGCTGGTGGTGGACCACCACTACATCACGCGCAAGGCTGCTGCTGAGCTGGTTTCGCACTTTGCTGACGTGGTAGTGGCTGTTGACAGCGCAGCGGAGGCCCTCTCGAGGCTGGCGCCTCTGCCACATGCCTTCCAGCTTATCCTCGTTAATATCCGACTCGCTGACATGCCCGGGTACGTGTGATTGCGGGGTGGGGTGGGGGGTGGGATTGGGCGGCAGTGAGGAGGGGAGTTTGTGGCGAAAGCACACGGATGCACCCCCTTCCTCTTTGCCGCACGCCTTCCAGCTCATCCTTGTTAATATCCGACTCGCTGACATGCCTGGGTACGTGTGGTTACGAAGAGGGGGGTGAAAGGAGGGAGTGGGGGGGAGGGAGGGGGGAGGGGGGAAGGGGGAAGGGGGAGGGGGGGTTGTTTGAAAGGACACGATACACCCCGCTGCTGCTCCCTCTCCAGCTCATCCTCATTAACATCCAACTCGCTGACATGCCCGAGTATGTATGATTGGGGGTGGGGTTGAGGGCGGAGGGGGAGGAGGGGGCGGTGGGGTGGGGGGCGGAGGGGGCGGAGGGGGCGGAGGGGGCGGAGGAGATTTGTGCACGCTTGTGCACATCCTTCCTTTATGCACCACACATGCCGTCATCCCCCTCACTACCACCCCCTTCCCCACCCCACCCCACCCCACCCCCCTTCTCCCCCCTACCCCGTGCCCACAGCTTTGAATTCACGGAGGAGGTGCGGCGCCGCGAGGCGGAGCACAACAAGGCGGAGGTCCAGCGGTGGGGCGCCACGTCAGCGCAGAGGATCCACGTGCCGATCCTGGGGCTGGTGTCGGACATGCACCCGGAGATGGTGGCGCGGTGGCGCGAGGTGGGCATGGATGGATTACTCACCAGCCCTATCGATGAGGCTCAACTCTTGACGGTGGCTTCCAGGCTGTTCAAGCCAGCTGAGCATTGAGGCCTGACTGACCATTGTCCACCCTCCTCTGCTCTGGCATGGATCGGCGGTTCACCAGAACCATCGATAAGGTCCAGCTGCTGCCCGTTGCTTCCAGGCTGTTCAAACCAGCTTAGCACCTTTGAATTACTCTACAGATGAGCATGGAAGCCTGCCCTGCAGAATGCATGGAATCTATCCCAAGCCACATCCTCCTCTGCTATATGGAATGGGAATTGAAGGCACGAGGGAGTGAACGCTCTATGGGCCTCTAATCAGCCCCAGTGATGAGGCTCGGCTCGGCTCCCTTTCCTATCTGCTCTTGGCTTCTCTTGCCTATCTGCTCTTGGCTTCTCTTGCCTATCTGCTCTTGGCCTCTCAAGCCTGCTGCGCAATGAGCATCGTCAGATTGACACCAATTGCAACATCCTCCCCCGTGCCTGCATGCTAGTCTTTCCCAAGGTGTGCTCTCACACCACCACGCCAACCGTACCAAGGATTCTGGAACGAGCTGGGGACGAGCTGCGGGCGTACAGTATGCCCTGGAAGATGGTAAATTGTTGAACATTATTTATCAACCGATGTACAGTACGTTCTTGCCTTGCTTTGTAACAATTGTCTTTGACAGTCAGGGTTTGACCTAACAGCTCAGCTGTGCACCATTCCTTGGGCAGTCTGCCGCTGTTTGGGGCCTTCCAGGTGGCTTTTAAATCGGTGCTTCTCCTGCTGCTAGTTGGTGTTGAAGTATACCTGGTGTTGAAGTATACCTGGGGCCCTGGTGCGAACAGCTAGTTCATCCTCCAACACAAGCGTCTCTCCTGCCTTCAGTACGGTCTGAACTACTCATCCATCCAGGAGCACAACCTTGTGTGCACTTGCCACACAAATAGCTTTAACTCCGCTCTGTACAATGTGACAATGCCGGGCTAAGGAACGCCTACCAGGCTGCGCAATACTAGCTACATAGCAGCTTGCAGGAACACAGGTAGCTAGCCAACCAACAGTGCGGCGAACCAAAAAGAGAATCGGAGCGCGGAGTTAAAATCTGAGCTTTGCAAGAGAAAGGTAGGGATGGTAGAGGATGAAGGGGAGGGGGCGGGCGGGACGGAGGGATATGTGACGACGGCAGAGGCATGGTGGAGAGTGTGGAGCATGAGCCCATAGCACTTCATATTTTGAGTGGGTGGGTGGGCCGGTGGGTGAGTAGGCGGGTGGGTGAGCATGAGGGTATGGGGGTGGGTGGGTAAGTGGTTGGGGCTGTGATGTACAGCCTTATTGCTCACGACTCCTCCTGAACACTGGCTGCTTTGATGGAGGGCGGTGTGGGGATGATGGTGCCAGCTGCGCCAAGCTGCTGTAGCAGGCGCTCATGACATTGATGGGATGGTGGAGCGGATGCTCGTGGCAGTGCAGATGCCCGTCACGTTGCTGCGGAAGCTGATAATGGCATCGATGTCAGCAGCGATGGCGTCGATGTGGGTGGCGATGGTGTCAATGTGAGCAGCAATGGCGTCAATGTGGGTGGCAATGGCGTCAATGTGGGCGGCAATGGCGTCAATGTGGGCGGCAATGGCGTCAATGTGGGCAGCAATGGCATCAATGTGGGCGGCGATGGTGTAATGTGGGCAGTGATGTGTATTGAGTGGCACCTAAGGCAGCGGTTCTTGCACGTTCCTGAGGCGGTTCAGGTGCAGGTACACGTCAGTGCCATACCCTTCCATCGACACCACCTGCAGGTCGCCCCCGAAGTAGCGCGCGTACAGCCGACTGATGGGCAAGCCATAGCCGTACCCAGCCCTGCTCAACACAAGGTCAAGGGGTACGGGGGCGAAAGGGTGCTAGCACAATGAGTTAACCACCTGCAAGCTCATCACCCCCCCTTGCCCCACTCCCATCTCCCCCAACGCCATGTGTACCCAACAAGCATTCGTGATGCCACCTCCCCCTCGTCCCATATTCACATCACAGTGGGCATCTCGTCCAGCTGATTCCCAGCAGCGATGGGCACATAGGTCGTGGAGTAGAGCTACGTCCAGATGCTCTCTAAGGGCGTTTCCAAAGTGAGAATTGTGTAAAAGGTACCGTACTCGAGATAGCTGCATCGCACAGAACCAGTAGAAGAGTGCCACAAACCGAGCTGCAACAGACACCAAACTTGTGAAAATTTTCACTTTGGAAACGCCCTAAGAACCTCAAACCCATCTGTCCGGCCCCACTTTCTATCCCTTTCCCTAGCTCCCAATTCCCAGCACCCCTGGTCGCAGACTCACATGACAGTGGGCATCTCGTGAAGTTGATTCCCAGCAGCAATGGGTGAGTTAGCCGTGGTGTAGAGGTACGTCCAGATGCGAGGCAGGCCACTGCGGGGGATGCCACCTCCCTCGTCCGAGATCTGCAACGGCAAGGGGGGAGGTTGAGATGCATAGTGTTAGAACACAGCCTGCCAGCCACCACCCTCGTCGAAGATCTGCGCACGGGCAGACGTGAAGAATACGAGAGCATGATGAGACCAGGCTGTTCCTTCGCTGATCTACTCTTCTCTGGGACGATATCAAAGCTGCCTGCTGTGATTGCCCCCCGTCTATCCCAATTCCGAATGCTCAAACACCATCACACACCCTGCTAGTGCCACCTTGATGGTCACATCCTCCATGCCGTCAGCCACGAAGGGGAGGATGGCCGGCATATGCAAACCTTAATGACCCCATCTTGCTCGTACACCACATCCCGGTAGTCACATCCGTTACAAACCAATATGGTCACATCCTTGACGCACCTTGATGGTCACATCCTCCATGCCGTCAGCCACGAAGGGGAGGATGGGCAGCGGGTCATGGTGGGCGTCTGCGAACCTCAATGACCCCGTGGCTAGTGCATCACGCTCTGGCAGGCAGACCTCTTGCACGCCCGGGCAGTCACATCCATCACGCACCTTGATGGTCACGTCTTCCATGCCGTCGGCCACAATGAGGCGGATGGGCGGCGGGTCATGCTCGGTGTCTGCAAACCTTAATGGCCCACCGTACATCGCGCCCTGCTAGTCGCAGAAGGTACGCACCTTGATGGTCACGTCTTCCATGCCGTCCGCCACGATGAGGCGGATGGGCGGCGGGTCATGGTCGGCATCTGCAAACCTCTCCTGCACGGCACGCAGGGAGTTCTTCACGAGCTCAAACAGCATCTGGTGCAGATGGGCTGGCACGTACCTGGAGGGAGTAACAGGTGGCAATTTACGCATCACAGGGGAAAGGTAGAAGCAATCATCAGCACGCTGCACAGCCTCTCCTCCTGCACGGCGCGCAGGGAGCTCTTCACGAGCTCGAACAGCATCTGGTGCAGATGGGCCGGCACGTACCTGTGATGGTAAAGGGGTAATGGGTACCAAGTAACACATTAAAAGGAATGTGCTGCTCATGAAAACAATGTCGTAGTGCATGCAGGTGTTGCTTTTGTGGCAGAAGAACCATCACGTCAGAACAGAACCACATACGTGAATCTGAGGCACGAACGCGAGCATGAATGGCTTGCAGTACGTGTATGAATGACAGGGCGGGTATTTTGCGGCGGGGTTATAGAGAACCGTACGCGAATCTGAGGTCGGGGTCGCCGTAGATGTGCACATCAGGGGCAGAGCCGTACGTGCGCATGCACGCTGACCGGGCGTCATCCACAGCGTTGCGAGCCACGTCCACTGGCGACACCTTGGTGCATATCAGACTGGAAGGGCGAGATGGGGCGGCGGAAAGGAAGGGGAGGATGGGCGGTAGTAAGAGAAGCGGCGAGAGTTGGTTTTGGTTATTATGATGGAATGGGGAAGATGGGGGAATGCCTTTTTTGCACAACTCAGAGGAACTTTCAAGGAAAACAAGAGCTGGGATGCAGAAGAGTATCAAGGCTTAGCTAATGGGGGCTTGTCATTCCCAATGCAGGCAGCAAAGCCAATGTGGTGGGTCAAGCACGCAGCATACCCTATATAGTGGGGCGGTGGCGACGGTTTATGGAGCGCAACGTGTTGACCAATGAGCATGCGAATGCCTATCCGCGACATGTAGAAGCGATCCTGAAGCGTGCGCATGAGATGGGATCAATACATGCAGCAAACAGGAAGATTTGAGGAGCGCAAGCAGGCAGCGGGGCGAAAATTAATCGACACGGAACGACAAGTTTGAAACGGGGCAAGGCATCTAAACGACAGAGCAGGTTTCAAGAAAGCGACAAGCAGAGACTAATGAAAGGAGCAACAAATAAAAGATCGCAGGCAGGACTGACCAGGAACTGGTGGATCTCAGGCATGCTGTCGAGCCCATGTCTCGTGCTGTCGGCGAACAGGTCCCGCTTGAGCTCGCTCACCCCCATGGCCACCGTCGGCATCACGTTGTTGTGCCGCATGCGCACCTGGTCAACGCAGGTCAACGCAGGTCAACACAAGTCAACACAAGAAGGGCGGCAAGCTCGCCAACTAGAAAAGAAGCTACAAATCTTGGCACACTCACCTGCTCACCTGTCCACCTGCTCTTGGCAGCTCGCATGTGCCAGCGCCTTCTCACTTTCACGCTCATGCTGACCATTACGCACATTCTCACCTGAATTATGCCACATTCTCCTGCAGTTTCTCGTGCTCACCTGGTCCAGCAGCCCACCTGGTCTAGCGGCTCACCTGGTCCAGCGGCTCACCTGGTCCAGCAGCTCACCTGGTCCAGCAGCACCTCACCACCTGGTCCAGCAGCACCTCACCACCTGGTCCAGCAGCACCTCACCACCTGGTCCAGCAGCACCTCACCACCTGGTCCAGCAGCACCTCACCACCTGGTCCAGCAGCACCTCACCACCTGGTCCAGCAGCACCTCACCACCTGGTCCAGCAGCACCTCACCACCTGGTCCAGCAGCACCTCACCACCTGGTCCAGCAGCACCTCACCACCTGGTCCAGCAGCACCTCACCACCTGGTCCAGCAGCACCTCACCACCTGGTCCAGCAGCACCTCACCACCTGGTCCAGCAGCACCTCACCACCTGGTCCAGCAGCACCTCACCACCTGGTCCAGCACCACCTCACCACCTGGTCCAGCAGCACCTCACCACCTGGTCCAGCACCACCTGACTGGTCTAGCAGCGCCTCACCTGGTCCAGGAGCGCCCCACCTGGTCTAGCAGCGCCTCACCTGGTCCAGGAGCGCCCCACCTGGTCCAGCAGCACCTCACCTGGTCCAGCAGCACCTCACCTGGTCCAGCAGCTCCGTGAAGCGCATCTCTTCTCTGGCGTTCTCAATAGGCGGGAACTGGTGGATGTCCTTGAACGAGTCCACGTACCAGTCGCGCACCTGAGTGGACAAACAGGGAGGAGGAGAACAAGCAAGGTAAACGAGGGCAAACAGGGCCAGGGAATGAGAAAGGGAACTGGTGGATGTCCGTGAACGAGTCGACGTACCAGTCGCGCACCTGACGGCGGGATCAACGGGGGAAAGGATGACCACCGGCAAAGAGGGCATCAAGGGCAAGAGGGACCAGAAAGGTGTCTTGAAACTCACTTTGAGCCTCGTTTTGGCCCCTTATCAGATGGCCGTACAGGAGGGAGGTTACTCGACTTCCGTGACACGATGGAGAGTGGAACGCTTGCGCGTTGCAAGTCGTTTTAACAAGTTCAGAGTCGCGTTCACGGAGTCTCCTCATTTTCATGGTTGGAGCTTTATCCGATAGGCCGAGTGGAAGACGTAATGCATACGCGATTAAAGATGACCGGAGCACATACATACGCTTTCCCAAGTTCAGTGACGCGATGCGCCAATCGGACGGTACGCTCGTGACGGGAAAATGATGCCATACGCGTTTGAAGATGACCGGAAACTCGTCAGAAGAAAAGGATTACTTTGAGGATGGGAGCTTTATCCGACAAGCCGTGCGGGAGGTTCTCGAGCTCCGTGACGCGGTGAGCCAGTCGCACAGGGAGCTCGTGATGCAGGAACTACCTATTTACGCGTTTTAAGCGTCTGGAAGCTAGTTAGTAGGCTCGCCTCACCTTGAGAATGGGAGCTTTATCCGACAAGCCGTGCGGGAGGTTCTCGAGTTCCGTGACGCGGTGAGCCAGTCGCACGGGGAGCTCGTGATGCAGGAACTGCGCCGCGGTGATCAGATTCCGCTCCGTCGGATACGAGCCGTGAGCCATCATGTATTTCAGGCTCACTCCCGTCTGCTTCTTCGACGCGCATTTGTGTATCTGTCGACGCATCCAAGAAAACAAGGCGAGCATCAAAATGGCAGGGAAAACATTCTTTTATGTTCAGCTCTAAAGAAAAGATAGCGAAGCATTTCAAGAAACAAATTAATACGTAGCAGCAAGAGGGTATGTAAGCAGAGCCACTAAGCAACCAAGAACTTACATCGGCTAGAACACTGGAGCACAGCGTGTGCGACAGCTTTCTGACGGGGCTCTTGGCTGCAGCTGCTGTCGTCATCGCAACGTCCCGGATGAGACCGAGGTGTTTTCCCAGCTTCGTTCCTTCCAGCCGCCAACAGAAAGTCCTCGCTGAGACAGCGAAGCGCTTTAACCGGCTTGAACGTCACTGACGCGACGAGTGGGCTTCTCAAAAACTTGACGAACACCTGGCACTAATTTCCCTGCTGCTGGACTCTAAGGATCACCTACTTAATCTTCTGGACTGCAATCCACGTCTTAGAACTGTGGCTAAATGATAATGCTGGATTCGTATCCAACTCATACTATCTCAATCGAACGCATCCAAGACACTAAGATGACTTAGACACTACCTTGCAGATAAGGTGCAGTGCCGTTCACGGTCTTCAGGCTCATCAGCTGCTAAAGAGCGTCAGTACCTCTGGTAAAGAGCGTCAGTACTAGCAGACGAAAGCACTGATCAGGATTCAGCACTGAGACAATGGCATTACACAGTGTGATTCGGGAGACGAGAGGCTATTCCCTCCCGAGTGTTCCGACAATCTCGGCGAGTGTGAGAACTGAGACGACCAGAATGGGAGTTCCGCTCGTTTCAGCTCGGTTCGGACTATTCAGGAGGAGTTGATTGCAACGAGCAAGGAGTCTATGGAACTCTGTGCGGGGAATCGGGGTCTGGTCCGAGGCCAGGAATTCTGTGCAGCCTTTGTGTCGCTGCGCATGGATGGGTGCATGCGCCCAGGCTGCCACCATCTCAACCGCAAATTTATCGCATGTGCCCAGCCCGTCCTCGAGATGGCAGATTTTACAACCGCAAACCAGAACACACACTGCCCGTCAGCCGCTCATTTCCCACAGATCGCGAAAAAATGACGCTGCATTCTTGCTGACCGTCCGAATCCAGCAGGAACTCCGAGGCAACGAGTGACTGTTGGGGCAGTGACGAAAAATATTACAGTACATGGTGGAAGGAACTGGGGTGGAGTTCCAGAAAATCAAGTGAGGGGAGTTTGAAATCGCGATCGAATGTGCCACATCACGAAGCAAGTTCGTGACTTCCACGCGCATTGGAGGACGAGGGGCCCTGTGTTTCCGATTGGAGAAGCCTGGTTGATGATGTGTGGTGGTCCCAGCGCCAGGAAAATAGCCCACCTCACACGTGATTCTTCCGCTGCGCTGTCCGACATACACTCTCTGCCAATTGGATTTTCGCAATCCGTTGCGAACCACACAAGCGCCGACGTGGATAGGGCCTTGACACGACATATCCAGCACACGTCACACAATGCTGCAGAACTGACCAGGAACATCCTCGTTTTGGTTCCGAAATGCTCACGAACAACCAGAAAAGGTATCGTTTCTATTCCATTACAGAAACGAACTCACATATGTGACTTGAAATAAAATGGTGGCAATAAGAGGCTGCGGTAAGAGCTGCTTTATCATATTCTCGGAGTTCCCAAAGGGCTCATAGTCGCCATAGTCTTAGCCATCGACGATGCTCGGCGGACTCCAGCTCCTCCCAGCACACTACCGCCTTGAGGGACTTCAAGAGCACCACTAGTACCACTACCACCACTGCCCCCACTTAAACTGCTACCACCCTGATCAGGATAAGCATCGTAGCAGTAACTGCTGTCGCTACAGTTCTCCTCTGGCTCCACAGGAAACAAATCCTCCTCCACCTCCTCATACTGAACTGACTTTGTCTTGCTACCTCTTTTCCCTCGAACCCCAGCTCCGGGACCCGCATCCCGCATTCCCCCAGTGTCACGTGTGACCCGGCTCAATCCAGCACTCCCTGCCCCAGAAACTGCAGGCGACGCAGCAAAGGACCCCACGGTTCTGCTACTGGCACTCCACCTGGTACTCTTAGTAGCACCTCCCCTTCCAGGGTAACCGCCCCCCTCACCTGTTGCTGACCCGTGCCATCTTTCTGCCTGCTCGTTATACCCCACGCTCATGCTGTCCTTAAAGCCCGAGTTCTCACTGTAGCCGGTGCTCATACTATCATTAAACCCCATGCTCATGCTGTCCTTAAAGCCCGAGCTCATGCTGTCATAATAACCGCTGCTGGCACTTTCATTGTACCCCATGCTCATGCTGTCCTTAAAGCCCATGCTTGCACTGTCCTTGAAGCCAGTACCCACACTTCCTCTAGTCCCACTACTGACGACGTCCTTAATCCCTGAGCTCATGCTGTCACCTAACACGCTCTGCCCCCTGCTGGTTCGGCTCTTCGCTGCTTTGGGCTTGAACCGTGAGACAGAGGAAGGGGGGGAGGAGCAGGGAGCAGAGGCGACAGAGTTGGAGGGAGATAGCATGGCTGCATGGAAGGCCTCTGCTGGCTGGCTGTGTGCTCGGGAGAGAGACCCCTGATAATCACCACTGCTCCCAGCCCCGCCAGCAGAACTGGCACCAGCACCAACACCAGCACCAGCACCGGCACCAGCACCAGAACCAGCAACACCAGTAGCAGCAGCAGCAAGGGAGGCACCAACGGAGCCACGGCGGTTCGGCTTGCCTCTAAACAGCCCAGCTGTTCCTCCTCGATACTCCCGAGCCCCACTCTCAAAGCCTCCCGCTGGGAACCCTCCCGCCGCTTCTGGCATCAGCTCTTCCCTCCCCTCCTCCTCCTCTTCCTCCTCCTGCTCCTCTTCATCCCCTGGACCATACAGGTCCTCCTCTTCCTCTTCCTCTTCCACCTCCTCAAATGCCCCCTCCTCAAATACCCCCTCCTCAAATGCCCCCTCCTCGTATACCCCCTCCTCCAGCACCCCCTCCTGCTCTGCCTCCTGCCTCCCTATAACATCCTCACTGGGTCCATACAAGTCATCATCCCCCACCTCCTCCCCCACATCACCATACATATCTTCATCAACTGCCATACCTCCTCCTGCTCCTCCCCCTGCTCCCCCTCCTCCCCCTCCTCCCCCTCCTCCCCCTCCTCCCCCTCCTCCTTCTCGTCCCTCTTCCCCCACCCCCATCCCCTTCCCCCAAACCCCTCCATCAAGCCCACTATAAGCTGTCGCTCCTGCTGCCTTCCCCCTACTGCCTGCACGTTTCTTCCCTCTCGCTGTGCCCTTGAAGCCTCCTGTAGCAGCCGCACCACCCAAGCCAGTCTCAGCAGCTACTGGCACAGATCGCCCCGTTATAGTGTGATCCGTTACAAGCCTGGCCGAGCGGCCATCTACAGTGTACGTGCGTGGAACCATTGCCGGCAGCAGTTCCTCGGCTGCAGGATGCGCAGGTTTCCTCCCATCCACTGTATACGACCTCTGCACTCCCACTACACTTCCCTCCCCTGCACCATCACCATCATAGCCACCATAACCATCACCACCACCACGGTAACCATGATAGCCCTGGTCACTCCCAGAATAACCATCATCGTAAGCATAACCATCATAACCTTCGTAACCGGCATTGTAACCATAACCATCATCATAACCACTGCTACATGCCCCACCATCTACCCCTCCAGGCATCACGCGTTGACCGCTCTCGCTGCTGCACACTCCTCCCATCTCACCACTCTTTCCACCATTCCGCCCCCTCACCTTCTTCCCCTTGGGAGACCCTCCCACTCCCACCCCTCCAATCCCCACCCCCACACCAGCCCCCCTCTCCACTCCCCCCCCCCTTCCAACGCTGCTTGCCACCCCGGCACCCCCTCCCATCACCCCCCCCCCTCCAATCGACCCCCGGCCAAAGGCCACACTGCCCTGAACCATACTGGCAGCAACACCCGACCCCGTGCCTCCTCCTCCTCCTCCTCCCCCCCTTCCCCCACCCGCAGCAGCCTGCATCATTTTAAACTGTAGCAGCTCCTGCAGCCGCCGGGGCGCATCTGATGCGGTTTTCTGCAGCCTGGAGTGAGAGGCGGGCAGGGGAAGTGGAGATCCCAGGGTTGCATGGGGATTCAAGCCTGCTCCTGCTGCTGCCAAGCCCGCCCCTCCTAACGGCGACACTGCTGCTGCTGCTTCTGCTGCAGCTGCCACTGCTGCTGCTACTGCTGCTGTTGATGACGATGGCAGAAGCGCTGGTGGTGGTGGTGCTGGGGAGAGCATCTCAGAATGGCTGGAGGATCGCTGGCGCCAAAGGGGCTGGCCACCTCCTACGCCTCCTGCTGCTGCTGCTGCTGGGAAAGGACTGCCCCACGTGGCCGTTGGCGCATGCCTGGAGGGAGTACTGCTGCTTTGAGGCGTCTCAGAAGAGCCCCACTGCCGCTCTGCTGCCGTTGATGCTGCTGCTACTGCTGCTGGAGAAGGACTGCCCCACGTGGCCGTTGGGGCATGCCTGGAGGGAGTACTGCTGCTTTGAGGCGTCTCAGAAGAGCCCCACTGCCGTTCTGCTGCTGCTGCTGCTGCTGCTGCTGCTGCTGCTGCTGCTGGAGAAGGACTGCCCCACGTGGCCGTTGGGGCATGCCTGGAGGGAGTACTGCTGCTTTGAGGCGTCTCAGAAGAGCCCCACTGCCGTTCTGCTGCTGCTGCTGCTGGAGGAGGACTGCCCCACGTGGCCGTTGGGGCATGCCTGGAGGGAGAACTGCTGCTTTGAGGCGTCTCAGAAGAGCCCCACTGCCGTTCTGCTGCTGCTGCTGCTGGAGAAGGACTGCCCCACGTGGCCGTTGGCGCATGCCTGGAGAGAGTTGGAGTGCTGCTTTGAGACGTCTCAAAAGGACCCCACTGCCCACCAGGTGCCGCAGGCAAATTCACGCTTGCCGGCATAAGCCCTGCTGCTGCTGCTGCTGCTGCTGCTGCTGCTGCTTGAGACATGGTAGGAGGCATGGGGGAAGATGGCATGGGCATGGTTGGCGGCGTGGGCGTGCTGGTTTTGCCCCTTCTCTTCTGGCTTGTGTGCCGCCTGGGTCTGCCTGGAGGTTGATGGATGGGGGATTCAGCAGCAGCAGGGGCCACTGCAGCGAGGCTAGCAAAAGCGGCAGCAGCAGCACTTGCGGTTCGGGTCCTGCCATGCGCTTTGCCTCTCCGCTCTCTGTGCGGCCTCGGTTCCCCTTCCTCCCCCTCCTCGTCCCCTTCTGCCCCATCATCTGCATCACCAATCCCCGCGTCCCTCCCACCACCGCCACCCTCTTCTGCTTGCGTCTCCTCCTCTTCCCCTCTCTCGCTCTCACTCTCAGCTGAGGAGAACTCCGTCTCCTCCCCCTCCTCCTCACCATCCTCCCCCTCACTTGCCCCATCCTGCCCTCCTTCCTCCCCGCCCATCCCATACAAATCCTCCTCCTCTTCCTCCCCTCCCACTGGCACCCCTGGCTTATACCCTTCGACATTTCTTTCAGCACCAGCAGTAACAACAGCAGCAGCAGCACTGTCGCTATCCCCAACAGCGGTAGCAGCAGCACTCCTTCTGGCTCTGCGACTCTTCTGGCTGGATGAGCTTACCGCAACCTGAACATGAGGAACTGGCTGACTTGGCTGACCTTGACTTGTACTTTGATCTGAATGGCTCGGTTGCTCCCGTTGACCAGCTTTGCCCCCCGACTTCCCAGTTCTCGCCATGTACCTCGCCACATCAGACGCCATGCGGGCTATCTCATCCTTCTCCTCCTCACTGTCAGAATCCTCCTCTCCCACATCCTCCTCATAATCCTCATCCTCCTCATCCTCATCCTCATTGTCCTCTTCCTCGTTCCCCCACCCATCCCTTCCTTTCCCCCACTTCTTAACCCCATGATTTGCACAATCGCCCTTCACTTCACCACCTTTCCCCTCATCCTCCTCATCCTCTTCATCCCCCTCCCCTTCCTTCCCTTCATCCACAACTCCAAGCCCCTCCCCTCCCCCTTCCTCCTCCCCTTTGCTCTCCTTCACATCCCGCCTGCTTGCCTCCCCCTCCTCCTCACTCTCCTCGCCCTCCTCATCCCCCTCCTCAATCGTCTCAGGCACACCAACAACCACCTGCTGATGCACCTTAGTCAGGCAACGCAATAACTTGGCTTCCAGCAACTTCTCTCCTCCCATCCCTAGCCCTCCCACCTCCGCGCCCGCTCCAATTTCAGCCACAGAAGCGTCAGCAGCCGCACCTGCACCAGCAGCAGACCCAGCAGCTCCCTCGACCACCTGCTTCTGCCGCAGCAGCTGCTGCTGCTGTTCCCGTTTGAACGAGTTTCGCGCGCTCAGCAGAATGCGCAGGGCATCATCCCCAGAGAGCTTCCGGATCTCCTCCCGGATGTCCAATGACGACAAGAACTTGCTCTCCTGCGTTGATTTTACCTCCTGCTTTGATCTGACCTCGTCTTTCGACCTGTCCTCGTGCTTCGCCTTGCTTTCCTGTTTCGATTTGCTGGACTCTTTTTCCTTGGTATCACCCTTCTCAGGCCCACCCTTCTCAGGCCCACCCTTCTCAGGCCTTCCCCTCGGCTCCATTTCCTTCACACCAGTGCGTTCGCCCTCGCCTTCGTCATCCACCCTTTCCGTGCTCTGTACTTCCTTGGCCTTCCCTTTCTTGCCCTTCTCTTCCCGCCCCTTGTGCGGCGAACTCGCCTCATCATCCTCGTTGTGTCTCCTCCGCTCCCTGTGCTTGGCTCTGTCCCTTCCATCCCCCTCCCTGCCTTTTCTCCTGTAATGCCGACCGCCACTGCCATCGCTGTTGCCTTCCTCCTCCTCCTCTTCATTCCTCCTCTCCTTCCTCCCCCTTCGCTCCTCATCACTCCTCTCGTCCCCTCTCTCCCTGCTGCTAGCCCTATCTCCTCTACCCTTCTCCTGTACTCTATCTCTACCCTTCCCCCGTACCCCCTCTCTACCCTTCTCTCTATCCCTCTCCCCCTCTCTACCCTTCTCTCTACCCCTCTCCCCCTCTCTACCCTTCTCTCTACCCCTCTCCCCCTCTCTACCCTTCTCCCGCTCATGATCGCTTCTTGTATCACCATCCCTGTCTAGGTCGCTGTCTCGTCCCACATCATCACCACCACTGTCACTCCTGCCCCCATGGCTACGCCGCCTCCTATGCCTCCCCCTATGCCGAGCACCATCCTCCTCACTTTCGTCTTCTCCCTCCACATGTCCTTTCCTCCGCACGCCATCCCTTCTTCTCCCCTCATAATCACTTTCCTGCCTCCCGTCCTCGCTATAATCCTCCCGTCCACTCTCATCCCCCGCCTCCACTTCCCGCCTCCTCCTCCTCCACCTGCCCCTCTCATCCTCATCAGACCCCTCCTCGACTCCACTCCGCCTCCCCTCACGCCTGCTCTGCTTTCCCCTCAACTCCCCATCATCATCATCATCATCATCATCATCATCATCATCATCATCATCATCATCATCATCATCATCATCATCATCATCCCTCTCTTCCCAAACATCCTCCTCCCTAACTCTTCCTCTCCTCTCTCTCCTTCCCCGACCCCCTCTTACACTATCAGAATCAGACGAGTGCCGGCTCCTGCTTCTACTCGACGATCCACTCCTCCTGCTTCTCATCCTTCCTCTTGCTCGTCTCTCCCTCCCGCCGCTCCTCAGGTCCTCGCGGGAACCGTCCTTTCGCCTCATCCTGCCCCTCTTTTCTTCCTCCTCCTCCTCCTCACTATCAGACGTGTGTCTTCCTCTCGAGTAACGGTCATCAGACTGGTCGTCCTCATCATCATCCCGTGTTCTTGACGTGAGTTTCAGGGCATCGTCCCCCCAACCATTATCAACCATCTCATCATCATCATTGTCAACATCACTGTCACTACCGCCCCTCTGCCGCCTCCGTCCCTTGTGCACACTGCTACTCTCACTATCCTCCCCCTCACTGCTCCGACCCTCCCCCTCTTCCTCCACTTCCTCTCTCCCCACTCTCTCCTCCCCCCTCTCCTCATCCTTCCCGCCCATATTCCTCATCAGAAACTTCATCAGCTCTTGGGTCAAAATCTCCTGCAACTGCGGATCCTCCAATCTCGGATCCCTATTCTTCAAATCATCATCATCATCATCATCATCCGCCCGACCACCCCCGAAAAACCCCTCATCATCGAACTGTTTTCCCCAGTTTTTCGGCCGGAAATCCGCCTCATCGAGCCCGTAAACCTGCGACAGCAGCCGCTTGAATTTCGACATGTCTAGAGGATTCGACCCCTCATGCTCGCCAGTGTCTATCTCCCCGTGCAGCGCATCCCCTTCGTCTGTCAACACCAGCACGTCAGCCTTCCCCGGCAGCAGCTTTGGGAACCCTGTTGGCTGCTCATCCTCCTCCTCCGTCTCTCCCACCTCCGCATCTGTCAGGAGATCCTCTCCCTTCTCTCCGTTCCCCCTGCTCTTCTTTTCCATACCTCCTGCGTCCTTCTCCCCACTCTCACCGACTCCGCCTCCTCCTGTGCTCGATCCTGCGCCTCCCTCGCCTTCCTCTCCCCCCATGCTGTCAGTGTCGTCCCTGTCGCTGTCTTGCTCGTCCGGGTTGCTCCAGATCTTGGCAGGGCAGCGGGCGAAGATGGGGGTGAAGGCGGAGGACGCAGGGGACGGCGGCTCCAAGCGAGCCTGTGCGACCGAAGCTGCAGAACTGGTGGGATCAGTCTGCTGCTGCTGCTGCTGCTGCTGCTGCTGCTGCTGCTGCTGCTGCTGCAGGTCCTGCTGCTGGTGGTGGTCTTGGGCTTCATTGCTGCTGCTGCTAACACTCGTCCAACTCCCTGCACCGCCATCAGTAACACCACCAGAAGAAGCACCAGCAGAAACACCGTCAGTAGCACTATCAGCAGCGCCATTTTCAGCACCCACGGCAGCAGAAGCGCCACCCGAACCAGAACGGCTCTCACCACTTTCGGCACACGTGCCACCACCGCCAATAGCAATCCCGCCGCCTGCAGTACTCTCACCACCGATACTAATCTCACCGCCTGCACCATTCTCGCCACGCCCGCTAGTGTCATCCCCGTGTGTATCCCGGCCGAGGCTGCTTCGCCTGGGCAAGGAGGACGATGATGAGGAAATCGAAGCACTATCTGACTTCCGCCCCGCGTTCGAAGAGCTCGCAGAAGAAAGGGAAGGCGAACCCTCTTTAGAAGAACGCTCGACTGAAGCTCGCCTAGCAGATGGCAGATGCCTCCCGGCCCCACCAGCAGCAGCAGCACCAGCAGCAGCAGTATTAGCACCAGTACCAGAAGGCGCACCACTTCGTATTCTGTTCGCTGGTTTTGATGGCAGTGATATTCTCCTGCCTAGCGCTGCTGGATTTGCCAAGGGACCTGAAATGCCCTGTGCGGGCGGCTCCCTAGCCAATCTGCTCATAATCCGCTCGACAGCCTGCTTGCGCCTCTCTCGCTTCTGCTCCTCCTCGCTCATCTCCCTCTGCTGCTGCTGCTGTTGCTGCTCCTCCTCCTCCTCCTCCTGCTGCTGCTGCTCCTGCTGCTGCTGCTGCTGCTGATTATCCCCTGTTTTTCCTTCTTCCTCGTTTTCCACACCGGATGGTTCTTCCGGACCTGCTGCCGGACCTGAGGACGAGGCATGGCTTGGTTCATCCCCCTTGTGTCGGACCACCAGCTCAGTGATGCTGCGGAGAAAATTGCCAGAGGATTGGGAAAGGAGAGACTTCTCCTTGGATTTCGATTTGCTCTTGGACTTGCCGTCACCTGGTTCCCGCCTCATCGTGAATTTCCGTAATCCGCTCGGAAAGCTCCGAAGGCGTGGTTGAAGAGATGGTAACTACTAAAAAGGTGGCCAGTCTTTAGTGGAGCTGGTGCGCTTTTCTCTAACCTAGGAATTTCCGAAACTTTTGATCAGGAGACACATCTACCTGCACAGATGCAGAGAAAGACGGGACGCAATGCCAAAGATAAGAGAAAATAATGAAATGCGAACTGCACACTTGAAGAATGGGAAGCAAACATCCAGAGTCGACTGACGAATGTCGACGAATGTCAGAGCATCACTTGTAAGTTAGGAAACGCATATACCTACGCAATGTCTGCAAGCTGCTCAGGTCCGTCCAGCGACAACATTCCTCTGACATAAGTAGGTGATTGACAAGGTTGCAGATACGGTATCACGCACCAGCGAAAACGAGCGTGCTTGAAATCGGCGTCGTCGCTCTAGGCGTATTCCCGGCATGATGGTTTTGGTAGGACGAGAATGCGAGGAAGCTCCAAACCACCTTCAATATAAATATATAAATTACGTGAAACGGTAAAAATACAAACTGTCGAAATGGACGACCACAGCTTATTCCGTGAGCTTCCTCAGTACCCTCATGACTCATAACAACCTATCGCCTGAGGATAAGTTCATGATGGTACAGATACGATGCTGGACCAGAGTTTCGTAGCATAATGTGCACGACTAAGCCGTAATGAGAATTCGACCCTCAGGACCAATTCCGCCTTTCGGTCGCTATTTGCCAACCCTACTCGCTAGTCAAGCTAGCACAGGCAATACCGAGCCTATTATACCTTGCACCATTGTTACACCCAGAAAGGCTTTAGGCAGGAATTGGCTAAACCTACACTGCATTGTCTGAGCTTGAAGAAATGTGTATGCCTTGGCACCTTGCACAGGCGCTTCACCCAACCTGCTGGCTTCCGCAGCCACTGCCTCGCCGGTTATGTCTGTGTCCGTTCCACCCACTGCATGCCATCCCATGCCCATCTATTCTATTCTGAGGTGTATGAACATTATTAACATATCAAACCGAGCTAAAACCAGCTGAAATCTACTGGAACGAGCCGAACTCACGGAACTCTCAAGGTGGCCTCATGGCACCCCCAAACCAAACAAGGGTTCACCGAACCAGACCACTCTCCCTGTGGCTGTATTCCCAACAACTTCGTTGGTTCGGCTAGCAGGTTACCCTGACGAACTAAGGCTAACTGCAGTTCCCTATGGTGTGCGGTAATTGGCTGCTCTTTGGCCCAAACCGTGAACGCGATAGTAGTGTAACTTCTAGAGGTTTGCTAACTGTTGGAAACTCTTAAAACTTAAAAGAGCATTTCATATCATATAACAGCTTCAATCATGGGCCTAGCTACTAACAATTGACAGAGTAATGGAAATATAACCTAGGGGTAATAATTGATTAGCAAGTGACGAGCGAACTGGCTAAATTAGGGCTCGTACGTGCTAGGGCGAGAACCTCGGGACGTGATGTGGCTTGGAAGGGTGGCGAGGGTGTCGGAATGCGACTCGGGAAGGTTTGGGCCGACAATCGAGGCCAACCTGCGAGGTCGAGGTCTCCTGATGTACGCGCTGTAATTTAGCACAGTAAGGAATCGTAATTCCTTACATGTTTGCTAATTGTTGGAAACTCTTCAAAGTTAAAAGAGCATTTCATATCATTTAGCTGTCAAACATATTTGTATATGTTATAATAGGCTAGATAGGTGCATGCTCTTAGAGGGTACAACCACTTGAACAAAATCAACATGTATCCCTCATTCTAGTTAACTTTTCTACTCTGAGATGGTATCATGCGCCAGGTTAGGTCCTCCCCGCCCACCCGCGCTTCCGCTCTCGTCCTAGTCGTAGCCGTCCGCTCCTAGCCGCCCCTTAGCGCCCCGTTAGCGCCCCTGTCGGCCCCCTTTGGCCCGTTAGCGCCCCGTCGGCCCCCTCTGGCCCGTTAGCGCCCGTCGGCCCCGTTAGCACGTCGTCGCCCCCGTGCGCCCCCTCTGGCCCTGCTCGCCCCACCGGCCTGCTAGCGCCCCACCGGCCCGTCAGCGCCCCGCCAGCCTGTTAGCCCCCCGTCGGCCCCGTGTGCCACTCTGGCCCTGCTCACCTCGCCGGCCCGTTAGCGCCCCGCCGGCCCGTTAGAGCCTTGACGGCCCCGTTCGCGCCCCGTCGGCCCCGTGCGCCCCTCTGGCCCCGCTCGCCCCACCAGCCCGTTAGTGTCACAGGATCGAATGTCCCGAGGAAAGGTTTGCTCAATGTTGCCCTATCAATCAGTACAAGGTGCTTTTATACTTCCAGAATACATCAGGTAACCAGGCTTATCCTATCCAAAGGGAATAGACCCTTCTAGAAATAGATATCAAAAAAATTGAATGATTGGTAAAGTGAGAGTACACACAAATATATCTAAGTTTTGTATCCTCTAAGAGGTGACTCTATACAGTCTATACAAACATGACAAATACACATGTTTGACACACCCCCTAGACTGCATAGGGGAATACCCTAAACAAGCAGCTCAGGGCGGCACTACTAGTCCAACCTCTGAGGCAAGGGTCTGAGCGACCGGTCAGAAGGAGTACAGACAAGGCAAGCACAAGAGCAGGGCGGCACTACTAGTCCAGCCACTGGGAGAGGACACAAGTCCAGTCTGAGTATACATATAAAGGACAGTACAAAGTCAAGGTCCTAGCAAGTGAGAGGCTACAGGAACTAGACCAAGCTGTACACAGTGCCGCTGATGATCTTTAGGCGCAAGCGCCTTCGTAAAGATATCAGCCGTGTTGGCATCTGAGGCCAAGTGTACTACGCGAGCCTGACGTCGCTGCTGTAGCTCACGCAGGAGGAAGTACCGCAGCTGAATGTGCTTCGCTCTGCCCTCGAGTCGAGGCTCCTGACACAGGAGGATCATGGCCCTATTGTCAGCGAACAGGACCGGGGCAGAGCTAGGCCGCTCACCTAAGTCAGTGAGCAAGAAGGTCAGCCAGCGGAGCTCCTGTGCCGCCATGGCACCGGCGTAGATCTCAGCCTCACAGCTGGACTGTGCAACAGACGAGGAGCGAGTAGCTCTCCACGAGACGGCACCTGAGCCAAGGCTGAAGCAGTAGCCCTGGGTAGACCGGAGTGTCTCAGCGTCGTCTGCCCACGAAGCGTCTGTGTGCCCAGTAAGGACCGCTGGCCTGCGTCCTCCTAGCACTAACCCCATGCCCGATGTACTAGCAAGATAACGCAGAACCCTCTTAGCGGCAGACCAGTGCTGCGGTCGGTGTCTGCCTGTGGCCACAAAGCGAGCCAGGATGCTGAGAGGGTATGCGAGATCTGGGCGAGTGCAAGTCATCAGGTACATGAGGCAACCCACCAGCTCTGCGTAGGGGCCGCTGGGCTCTACCAACTCCTCAGGCACTGGAGCGGAGAGCCTGTGGTCTACAGGCAGAGGGGTGGGCTGTGCAGAGGAGAACTGAAGGCTGAACCTCTGAAGGACCTGGCGCACCAAGTGTGACTGAGTCAGGGTGATGGTGCGCGCAGCTCTGTCCCTGGAGATCTGCAAGCCAAGGTAACGGCGCAGTTCTCCAAGGTCAGTGCAGGTGTGTCTCTTCAGCAGCTCTGCCTTCACGGAGGCCAGCGCGTCCCTGTCTGCTGTGGCAAAGACCAGGTCGTCGACGTAAACGAGGATGTAGAACGGAGTCTGGCCAGCACGAACGAAGAGTGAAGGGTCTGCAGAAGACGGAAAGAACTGCAGGTCAGCAAGCGTAGCACGCAGAGTGTCGTGCCACTCACGGGGAACCTGGCGCAGGCCGTAGACGGGGCGCCGCAGGAGCCACTGGGTCCCAGGAGGGAAGGTGCCAGTAAAGCCCGGAGGGCGGCGCAGGTAGACCTGCTCGTGTAGGCTGCCCTGAAGGAAGGCAGTGGAGAAGTCGAGGGAGTGAAGCTCGTAGTCACGCTGAGCAGCTAGGTGTAACAGAACCCGAAGAGTAGTCATCTTCGGGGTCGGAGCGAAAGTCTGGAAGAAGTCCACCCCCTCGCGCTGACTGAAGCCTCTAGCCACATAGCGCGCCTTGAAGACAGGCGGCTCTCCAGGAGGGCGCTTCACCTTGAAGAGCCAGCGGCCATCGACTACGTTCACCCCAGGCGGGGGAACTGCGTCGACGAAGGTGCCGGTGGATCTCCAAGATGCCATCTCCTGCTCCATGGCAGCTATCCACTGCGAGGCCCAGGGTCCCGAAGTCGCCTCAGCGTAAGTGCGAGGGGTCGGGATGTCGAAAGCGTCTGGGTCACCCTCAGGGACTAGCAGCATGGAACAGAGATGGGGAGCAGCCTCGGAGAGGAAAGCAAGCTCGAACTGGCGGTCCTCCAGGACGTCACTGCCAAGGGCAGGAGCACCCCCGACAGACGGAGGACAGGCAGGGTCAGAGACCAGAGCGGTGGCGTAGTCAAGGCGGCGGGTAGAGGCGAAGTCAGCGACAGCAGCGACAAGAGCGTCAAGGCACGAGACTGGAACAGACAGGTCGGTAACGAGAGAGGCAAGGACCCGAGGAACAAGAGGACGAGCGGCACGAAGGTAGTCGGACAGCGGGGGGGGCGCAACAACAAGGGAGGACGGAGGAGGCGACGGCAGAAGGGGAGGACGAGACGCGTGTGAACGAAGCAACATAGGGTGGGAGCGCAGGACAGGCGAGGCAGGACGAGCACGGGAGGGACGGTGAGACCAGACGTGCGATGGAGGAGTCGGGTCAGGAGACAGGGGAGGGGACACAGGAGGGGAACGAGGGGGGAGACGGGCCGGGGACGAGTCCGGCGGAGGGAAAACAGGGCCGTAGACAGGAAGAGGAGGAGACGGTCGGGGAGGAACCGACGCAGGGTCGGGGGACGGAAGGCCGAGCAGGCGAAGGGCGGACACCGGCGGGGACTGCTGCTGCGGCGGCACAACGGCGACACCTGGACCGCAAGCTGCTCCTCGGCTACCACCGGCACTCTCCACACCCGCACCCCCAGAGGGACCACCCTCAGGGCGACCGGGACGAGCACCCCCAGAGTCAGCGAACGGGGGCTGCGACTGCGGCGGCGGCGGCGGCGGCGGCGACGGCGACGGCTGCAGTGGCGGCAGGGACGGCGGAGGAGGGGACTGGGGAGGGGACACCTGGGGAGGGGCGGCCGGCGAGGACTGCACCGGAGGGCCACCAGAGTCAGAAGACTCCTCAACCGGGTCCACGGACGGAAGGGGGGTGACATGGGAGACACCAGAGGGGGCGGGACGGGGAGGAGGAGGAGGAGGGGCAGGGACTACCGGGGAAGGGGTGACCAGGAACAGGGGGGGGGTAACCGGGGGACCACGGTGGGGGAAGCGGCGGTAGTAGGAGACGGACTCGTCAAAGGTGACGTCACGAGAGTGAAAGAAGCGGTGAGACGGCGGGTGGTAAAAGTGCCAGTCGGACGCGTCAAGGGGAAAACCGAGGAAGACGCAGGGAAGGGTGCGGGCAGTGAGCTTGTCCGTGCCGGAGGCACGGACGTGAGCAAGGCAGCCCCAGACGTGGAACGCAGACGCGTCACCAGGAGACCCAGTCCACAGACGGGTCGGCGAAACCTGCGGCTGCTGAGGGTGCGGCCACAGGTTAAGCTGGTGAGAAGCGTAGCGCACAGCGAACGGCCACAGAAAATGGGGTGCACCGGCATGGACCATGGAGGTGCGAGCGACCTCCATGACCAAGCCGATGCGTCGCTCAGCGACCCCATTCTGCTGTGGGGAGTCCGGTAGGGTGAACGTCTGGGTGATGCCCTCCGCACGACAAAAGCGACCAAGGACACCTGAGGCAAACTCGCCACCACGGT